CCGCCATCGCACCACGGCCACTATACTCTCGCAGAGACCTCGCAACGGCAACAGGAGAACCAGTAGTTAGTGGGACTATTGTAAGGTGGCTGCTAGGGACGGGTCGGACAGCTTCAAGGCCCAGATAGCATCGATCTTCTCAGGGGGGACTTTGTTGGTAGGTTGAGAACCAACGTAGTATGGTAGTGAACGCAACGCAGTCGCCAATAGGGCGAACCGACGACGCAGCGTATGTATTTAGTCCAGCCATTAGGGCACGGTTTGACATACGGGAGTACTAGTAGAGGTACCGGGGGCTTCGAGCCTACGGCGTATTTAATAATAATAATAATAATAATAATAATATGCGTACTTGTCAGAATAGTAAAGAGATATCTGAAGAAGATAGTTCCGAGTAGTTTTCATTATTTTTTTACGTTATAGTTGAATTAACTTATGTCTTATTGTACGAGGTCTTAAGAAGTGTTCAATTGGACCGTGGGGTACGTGGACCCTTTTTGTCCTACTTATTAGTAATTGGTAAGGCAAGGGCCAAACCACCTCGATGTAGTCGATATTGTTACAGGACGGCTGGTAAGAGTGAGACTTGTTGCGGTGTACTCATCGCGTTTGTCATGCATGAGCTTGTCGGCAGTGATATCCTCGATGTAATCATCACACTGGATTCCCCCGGGGACGTGGTACATATCGCTGGGGTCATCATCGGGTCCGAGACCGAGACCCAGCTCGCTCGGTACACGACAACTATTTCGATGGAGGATCACCTTGATGAGTTGCTCCTTAGTACCCCTGCCGTCAGACGCCTTGGTGGTGGTCTGGTCGTTCTTAGCGTCGCCGGCAGACTCCTTGACGGTGACCTTCATCTTATCCATCTTGTCATCATCGCGATCAATTAGAGATGTTCCTGCTCGGCAGTGGCTATTTCCGTGTGTTCTTGACTTATTAGAATGCAGGAATTTTGATTTTATTGGCAGGAGTAGGGATGTAGCAACGATGATGTGCAGTCACACGAGATGGGCGCGGTTGCGATGTGTGAAACAGTAAATTCCAGAATTCCTTTAGCTCACTTCATTCATTGATCGCGGGGTTGGAATAGAAGCCAGTGGAAATAGCGGGCGTCTTGCTGCGTTGTAGAAGTGTAATTACAACGTTAACCATCACGGATGCTAGGAATAACGGGTGCTATTGAATAGAACCTGACTTTAGAAAAGTGCAAAGATAACGTAATAACCGCGAAAATCAAAACTGGCGGGTGCTATCCTACTTTATAAATGTTAACATAATAGCATTGTATAGTCAGAGACCCTAGAACATGAGTGCATTCCTAACTATGTAGAAGTGCATTATGGGAGAGACAAACCCTGATGGGTTAAGAGCATTGCTTTGAACATGGGTCTGGGTTTGGGAGCTGGATGAGATATATTCTGCGTATTAGCAGTGCAGATTGAAAGGCATGACTCTCAATGCTCAATTTAGACTTACTTTCAACGCCTCAATGCTAAGAGATGTTGTTCCGACAACGATGGTACAATTCAGCTTGGAGGTATTTATTTGATCTGATTGTAGCATAAAAGTGTGGCATTAGAAGAGGGGCAAAAGTGGGAGCTACATAGATACTCTTACTTCACACGAGCGTGTTGTAGGATAAGAAGTAATAAGGACTGCCTGCTTTATAGTCACGAGGCGTAGCAAGACTGCAAAACGGTATAGTACTAGACAGCAACATCACATACCACCGTACATAGTAGTATGGCGTATTACTCTTCTCATTTTACCCCCCCAGCATGGTCAGATACATTCCTAGATAGTGATGATTGTTACTATCTTGAGTTCTGTGTATGTGGACTTTTTGAATCATGAAGAAATAGTAGTTCAGATGCGCAGCCAAAGTCTGGCTGATTGTTTGCGAGTCAGTTGGCGATTCCGATGTTCCGAAGGGGCCGAAAAGGATCCTGCCGCTTGCTGATCTCGGCGGGATCTTGTTTCTGTGACCGCCTCATAGTCATAGTCCTAAGATTGCTTGAATTGTGGCCTTCCACCTTGGCACCCACCGAATAACATTCCAGTTTCTTAACCTATGGCGTTTTAACAACTTGGCTCTTTGCCATTATACGTTCTCGAGTGGCAAGTGCTAAACCTCGCAGTAATTCCGCAATGGCATACGTGAAGAACGTCAGTGTTGCCAGAATTGCGGGAGAAGCTAGGCACTCTCCACGCAGCAATGCCAAGTTGAGATAATCACATAACGTTCGATGGTTCTTCTAGAAATCTCCCACCACGAGAAACTATTATATATGTTTCAGCTGCCAAGACGTTTGAAACTGGGGAATATTCTGCAGGAAACAATATTCAAAGTTTCTGAACAGCTAGGTGCGGATGTTTTGCCGCCACCCTGGTCTTTGTTCGGACGCCGTCAAGACGATCAGTTGCCAATTTGAGACCCGACAAAGAATAGGTCAAACCTATCTGGGCTTAATGCACTGCCAACCGCCGAATTGGGATGGGGAAAAAGGCCTAAAACTACTTAGTATGCCTATTCCGGATCCTGGACGATCCAGACGACTATTGCCCGCCGTTCCGAGATCGTCACCAAGTGTATTCATCGCAAACTCACCACATTTGGACCTCTGGCACAAGACTAGACTCCGGCAAGCAAGACAAGACGAACCCGACGCTCCCTGGCTATGATGCTCGCCCATGATTCGCGACTGACAGCAGTGCAACGCAGGAACATCACCAGCGCCATCTTGTGCTTTGACTTGTGGATCTTGAGCGATCGGCGTTGTGGAATTTAACAATTTTTCGGGTCCACCTACACGTGGGGGTTGGCGACTTTGATTTTGACATTTTCTCTCTTCACGACCGACCATGTCGCCATCAAACGAATGCAGGGGTTGACAGCGCCTTTTCGTTTTTAGGACCGCGCAGGTTATTCGTGGGATGGATCATGGCATGTACCGAACCTCTGTCCATGGCAATCAGAGAAAACCGTGCGGTTGCAACTTTCGGCATTTGACAGCTGGCTGCTGCGGCCGAACGGTTGCTGGGTTGATGCTGGAAGAAGCACTGTATAAGTTCAAGCGCTTACGTAGTTCATACACTTCGTGCTATTTGTGTTAAACACACTAAAATGCGGAGATGATGCAAATTAGAAGTAGGCATAATTTTCCTCAATGCGAATGCAAATGCTACTCAAATGCCTCAAGACGGAAATACACCCAATCGCCGGGGTTTCCAAAGTATGGCCGCGTTCGTCTGAACAACTACCCATAGCCCATAGGCTGAGATGAGGCCAATGATTTATCTGCTATGGGAAGCATGGACCGTGATGGTAGACAGCGCCTGACGAATAAGGATTTCTGGCTCCTCTCTTTGCCCACATGGCTACTTTACCCATGCCACACCCCACTTATTTCGGATTCGCTTGAGCTCACCACCAACTTGGCCAGTTTTTCGACACTTTCAAGGACTCACAGCTACAGGAAGCCGTCCTCTACATGCAAGAGCATCCTCAAGCCAAAATTGCCAAGATTGCGCGAGAAAGCGGCGTAAAACGCGAGACCCTCCGATACCGCGTCAAGCAAGCTGGGAAGACTAAGAACCACGGAGGACTCAACAAACTACTATCTGAAGCCGAAGAAAAGGCCCTCTGTAATTACATCGACCGCCTTGATAGGATCAATCTTGCGGTTTGCGTAGAATTCGTTACCGACGCTGCAAATACGATATTACGTGAGAGAGTCAAGGTTCTACCAAATCAGCCACCACTAACAGTCGGATCAAACTGGACTACACGTTTCCTCAAGCGCCATAGCTACTTCCACGCTTCCCAGCGGAAGCTCCATTCAAACCGCCAGACTGCTGAAAACCTCGAAACTATACGAGAGTATTTTACACGGCTTGAGAGAGTCCTCCGGGAAGAAGGAATCGATCCCTCTGATCTCTGGAATATGGACGAGACTGGCTTCCGGATCGGTGTTGGTAAGGATCAACTTATCATCACTAAGCGCAAGAGGGCCCATTACTTCGGCCTACCAGAAAATAGAGAGACAGCGACAGCTATTGAAGCTATCTCTGCTGCTGGCGACGTAATACCAGCTTTCCTCATACTCACGGGGACTATCCACTCGGCTCAGTGGTACGCGCAAGACCTTCATTTGGGATGGATGTACCAATATAACCAAGCTAGAGTTCCTCTCAATTATCGAAAATGTGCGCAAAAAGACCTTCAAAGCGAGTACTATCCAGTCAGCCTTCAAGAAAACCGGTATATATCCATTTTACCCTCATCCAATACTACAAGAGATTGAAGAACGTATACCAAAGACGCCATCACCACCACCAGCCCTTCATCTTCGTCATATGAAGGCACACCTACTATTTTTCGACAAATTAATAAAGTAGCTAGCAAGATTACGAACTGTCTTACTGATCCAGAGCTGGGTATTAGTCCAGATCTAGCCTATCGACTTAGTCGCTTTGTTAAAGGGTCCCTCGTTAATGCGACCGAGCTTATACAGACTAAGCGCGATCTTAGCCGTACAAAGTACGCCGAACGTATATCAAAACAACGGCGCGCTACGAAGAACTATCATCTTAAATCTGGTGGAGTTTTATCCGTTGCAGAAGGTAGAGAGATGGTGAGGAGGAAGGTTGAAGATGAGGTAGCTAAAGCACAGAGAGTTCTCGCCAAGTATCATGAAGGACTACGTAGAGTAGCCAAAAAGAGCTTTTCTGATGCCGCAAAAGAAGCTAGAAGACGTCGATTGACATGCCAATTACAGCCTACAGATGTCTTCGAGACAGGCCTTGGTTGGCGGTTATTACGTAGATTCTAATTGAAGGTTGAAATCCGTCGAAAAACTGGCCAAGTTGGTGGTGAGCACCAACTTAGATTGGTGAGCTCAAGCGAATCCGAAATAAGTGGGGTGTGGCACGGGTAGTGGTCGACTCCACACAGACATGGGATGGTTGTGGATGTGGATATGTTACTAGCACGCGAACATCTCTAGGCTAGTGCTAGGTTAGCAGATTGGATTGATTATCTGCAGGCATCTCGTCTGCAATGAACATATGAAAAGGTGACGGAAGCTCCTACCTCTCGCGGGACATTCCTGTTCTGATGTTGCTGGTTTCGGGTCTTGTGACTTTCGTCTCTCGTTCATGCTACACTCACTTATCTCGTGTTAATGTCCCTGTCTCGCTCTTGACGGCAAGGTTGCGGCTGTCTTCAATGTAACAGGAGAATGCGGACCTCATTCTTTTCTTTCGTACTTATTCCGACTTTCTCTGTCTTGGGGGCTGCTTACTCGTTGACGGATGCATTGGGTGACCTCCCCAGTTGCGCGGTATGGCATAACCCAAGAGTAACGACGAAGCGTTGGTTGCAATCACTAACACAATATAGGTCACATGCCTCGTGAAGGCCGCCGGAGAATCAACTTGCGCCACAGTCGATACAGCTTGCCAATGCGCAAGTGAAAAATATGTCGCCACCGCCGAGGCTTGTGTCCTGACCAGCTGTACCGTTAGGGAATCTCTGGGTGAGGAATCATTCTTACACCTATATAGGAAGGACATACTCGATCTAACGTCACCATTTCCAGTGGCCAAAAATGTGACCCAGACGCTGTGTGGTGCACCCATTCGGGACAAGCGAGTCGAGTACAACGTTGTTTCATGCACCCTGATTAGTATCGCAGCAGTGGTTGTCCTCTTCCGGCTTGGCTACAAGAAGTTCTTCACATCCAACGACCTCGGCCTCGACGACTGGCTCATCCTTCTCACGCTAATCAGCTGCATCCCGTCTTCCGCTCTCAACGTCGCAATGGCCAATTACGGACTTGGCAAGGACATATGGACCCTAACCCCGGACATGATCACGAGTTTCGCTAAGCTATTCTACATCATCGCTATCCTCTACTTCTCCGAAGTCTTCTTGCTCAAGCTCTCCATGCTGTTCTTCTACCTCCGCATTTTCCCCGGCGCAAGGCTCCAACGAGTTATATGGGGCACCATTATTTTCGACGTCCTATTCGGCATCTCTTTCGTCTTGGCGGCAACATTTCAATGTACCCCGATTAGCTACAACTGGACCAACTGGAGTGGAGATGGCGAGGGCAAGTGTGTCAACATCAACGCCATTGCGTGGGCAAACGCAGCCATTTCCATCGCTCTGGACTTGTGGATGTTGGCTTTACCTCTTTCCCAGCTACCGAGTCTGGATCTCCACTGGAAGAAAAAAGTCGGCGTGGGCATCATGTTCTGCGTCGGGACTTTCGTCACCGTGGTCAGCGTCATCCGCCTGACCTCCATCGTCGAATTTAGGGGGTCTTCTAACCTGACTTGGGACTATTGGAGCGTATCTCTCTGGTCAACTGTTGAGATCGCCGTGGGTATCATCTGCGCCTGCATGCCGTCCATTCGCCTTGTCCTCGTCCGCATCTCCCCCAAAATCTTCGATGGAAACAAGGCTCGCCACATCAGCAGATTCTATCCCAGGAAGAGCCAGGGCGGCACCCGGAGCGACGATCGTTCCAAGAATAGGGCAAGCAAACGGATGTCCTGGAAGCCCAACGTCAGCGCTAATTGGCATACCAGTCGTCCGCCTGCCTTAGATACTATACCCGCTCACGGCGGTCCGGTCTCCATGATGAGTCCTTTGCCCAGTAGTCCCGTGTACTCAGGCTACTGTGACGAGACGGGATTGATGCCAACATACCATGTTGAAATATCCGCAACGCCACGACCGCCGACAAGGTTATCTAGCAGGTTCTCCCTCAAACTGAGCTCTCGGGACCGTGAACACCTGTCGTCGATGTCTTCCCTGTCGTCGGTGTAGGGGATGGGAATTTCTTCGAATGACGTTATGAGGGCTATAGTTTTCTTGTTTAGGCAGGAGATCGCTGCAGACGAGATACGAAAAGAACGAAGAATTGAATACTACTAAGTTACATTAACTAATATATTATTATTATTATTAAATACGCCGTAGGCTCGAAGCCCCCGGTACCTCTGCTAGTACTCCCGTATGTCAAACCGTGCCCTAATGGCTGGACTAAATACATACGCTGCGTCGTCGGTTCGCCCTATTGGCTACTGCGTTGCGTTCACCACCATACTACGTTGGTTCTCAACCTACCAACAAAGTCCCCCCTGAGAAGATCGATGCTATCTGGGCCTTGAAGCTGTCCGACCCGTCCCTAGCAGCCACCTTACAATAGTCCCACTAACTACTGGTTCTCCTGTTGCCGTTGCGAGGTCTCTGCGAGAGTATAGTGGCCGTGGTGCGATGGCGGCCCGTAATCGTTCCCTCGGTCCTTCCAACAGCCCGCAAAAGAGGATTACGTGCTCTGCCGTCTCAGGGGCATCGCCACAGCGGCATAGCGGCGAGTACACGCCAAAAGCCCCTGTCTTGAATAAGAAGGCTGCTAGTCCTATTTTTTCCGTCCTGATCTGGCACAGCGTAGACGCCTCCAGTCGGTTCAGGCCGAAATACTTGCCCCCTTTCGGTATCTGCATCGAAGGGCCCTCCGGTTCCTCAGCGATGGCGCGTCGCTGGCGATCGTGATGCTCTGCTCCGGTGAGCCATCTCTTCCTCCAGTGGCCGAGGAGGGCAGGCGGGACCTCCTTTTCCTCGCTCATCCACTCGGAGCCCCGGGCCTCCTTCTCCATAGTGTACCCTGCCGGTCGGAGTAGCTGCGACGCCTGCTTCCTCTTCGCCGGCCTATCCTGCCGGAGTATATGTGACGCTTTAGCGCTCGCGCTGCGAAGCAGATTTCTCTTCCCGCTAAGCCGTAGCCATTCTTCAAACTTAGCAGCCCGGGCACTAAGATAGAGGTCTAGTGGCGGGATTGCTGCTTCTGCTTCCAGGTGGCGAACCGGCGTCGCTTTGTGGGCGCCACAGACTACCCGGAGGCACTTGTTCTGTATCCCTATCAGGCTCTTAGCTGGCCCTGCCGGTTCCTCACTTATAGTATGCCACGCAGTCGCCCCGAAGGCGATCGCGCTACGGATAACCACCGTATATAACAGCCTCGCCCGTATAAGATCGCAGCCCCACGACATATTGACTAGCTTTGTCAGGGCTAGCTTTTGAGTTGCCATTTTTGTTTTAACACGCTCAACATGGGCGTGCCACGTCGGTTTGCGGTCGAACCAGACTCCTAGGAACCTCGCTGAGACTACCGGCGACACTGTGGCGTCCCCAAAGCGAATACTTTGCGGCAAGGGCTCTCGGGCCCTAGTAAAGTGCATTACCTCACTCTTGTCAGGAGCGAACTCCATCCCGTACCTCACTGCCCACCGCTGACACGTAGCCCATGCGCTCTCCAACCGGCGGCAGGTCGTGTCTGGATCGGTGCCGACGCTTAGCAGGTTCGTGTCGTCCGCGAACCCGACTACTAAAAGTAGTGGGTGCTGCTCCGCTAGCTCCTCGTACAGCGTTGAAATGTATAATATAAACAGTATCGGGGATAGCGGTGACCCCTGGGGGACGCCAGCTCGTAGGGGGGTTGGCTCTGACTCCTTGCCATCGAACCGGAGGCGTACCGTCCTATCCTCCACGAAGCTGCGTACCCACTCCTGAACCCACTCCGGGTAGCCTTTCCGGGCTAATATGGAAATCAGCCGTCTGTAATTGACCGTATCGAATGCCCCCTTGATGTCTAGCTGTAGCAGCGAGGCGATGCCCCCGATACATTAATATAAATAAACCAATCTAAGAAGTTTTCGTTCACCATCATCTAGTTTGGTAACTATTTTTGCTTGCGGTTCTCTGATATGAACTACACGAGAGTTGCACATTGTTTAGTTGGATCCGATGTCTCATCGAAGTCGTTACTTCTGTCTCCTGACTGGCCCTTTGATGCTATAATATGTTTTATCCCTGTCGACGGCTGCACCACTTTCAAACAGCAAACATGAGACCCATCACGCGGCCCAAGATTGCCCTGGTTGAATGTTATGCTCTTCACACAAAATCGAGATACGCAACATCAAGAAAGTCTCTGGCCATCAGCATCGATACTGTTGCATATGTCTCATGGTGCCCCACCGAGGTGTAGTAAGGCGCCATATATTACCCAACCCAGTATTGGCGTCAGCAGCTATATGTCAAATAAATACCGCAATCACTAGTGATAAATGTCGAAAAACATGTCGAAAGAAGGAAGACGCTTTCGAATATTATCAACTCTACAAAGAAGTTATGGCCAGTCGACTGCCAAGTCCAGAAAACCAGTCTCTCTCAACGGCCCTCAACCTAGACGAGCAACAGGATGCGTAGCCTTCCCCGAGCTACCAAAAGAAATCCGCCAGTGTATCTACGACCTCGCTCTCAGGAAAGAAGACATCTCCCAACCCTGCCATGGCGGTGCGCTGACTGGCTCAAGGCCAAGCTACCGGGACCAGTGGCAGAGCACCCGCAGCGATCTAAATCCGTCACGCAGTGTTTTTAACACCTATATCTCGTCCGCTAGGGCCAATCCCAAACCAAGTCTCCAACCGCCTTTCCGCGGCTGCAGGAAACATGGGCTGGCACACGAACTTGATATGTAGTTGACGCACTGTCCTCCTGGTGGACCTGGATTGGATGTATGCCAATTTTACCGTTGTTCTCATGGGACGTAACTCGGTACATTGCTTCGGCTGGGACGCGAGTCCGGAGGATTTGGGGCGTACACGCATTATAGAGACTGTTCAATGTCTTGTGACGACGTTTTTTTTTAGCTGGCGTGCGCTGGCTGGATGTGAGGTCGCCATGACTTAGGAACCAAATGTCAGTGATGATCCACCGGCATTCTAGATATTTTGGTCTATTGGCCTATGGGCTTGGTCCTCCCTGTGACAGAAAAGTGCCCGACTCGTTTAGGTACATGTCAGGGTACGGCTAGGCCGAAGGCAATAGTACCGAATAAAGGGGAGTAACGGGCGTCCCCACTGGTTATCACCTGGTGGTCACTGGCGGTCACTGGCGGTCTCAGGTAGGGATATCCAGAGTAGTTTATTGATCTCTACTCTTCTTCCTATCTTCCTCCAAGATACCTCCCTTACAGAGATAACCAGAGCCCGTATATCGGAGCAGCGGAGCACCAGTTCCTCCGCTTCCTCACTATACCAAGACTTCCATACTAGGTCATAACTCACAGGTCCCTATACCGGTGCCCCACGTGTCTTAGACTCGGCACTCTGAAAGTATGCGACTCGCTTATAAATCACGTTATAAGGACTTAAACCCCTATAACTTCTCAGAAGTCTTAAACCAATGGCGTCGGTTCGGATTTTCAGAATTCCATTGTCTTCAATATATAAACCCAGCCCTTGCACCTGAAAGAAGTGAGACCCCGTTATCACCGGACTTCACATTGAACCCGTAATCACGAGGTCCGGCACACTGGCACACATAACAACACTTCCCAGTTTCATGTAAGTGAAGTCATCGTTGATATCTCTCACAGCTTTGACCTCTCCTAGGAAACGACATAGGTAAATCCTACCAAAGACGACATGGCGCCGCTAATTGTTCTAGACAACGTGACCATCGACCCATATGCTAACCAGGTGCATCGATTCCGAGAAGAGATTGATCTTGAAATGGCGAATCCGCTTGAGGTTGGTCTTGGTCGATGGATGGATCATCGTCAACGAGTTGCTGCCGCCCGACACTCCGACGACAAGCTCTCGGCCGAGGCGGCTAGTATTACCGCGACCGTAGGCTGTGCCCCACCTAATTTCGTGAGATTGAGTTGGGACTACATTGCGCTGGACCTAAGCTTCCCGCCTGAAGACGATACTGGATTAGAAGGTGGGGGTTCTCCCCATACAGCAGCATCTGAAATCCAGTCCAGCCGAAATATCAGGACGGAGAGCAAGGTTCGATTGCCGCTCAGCTTGGCAAAACAGGGATTGAGCCCGTAAGGGACCAGCATGGGTCCGATGATTCCTCAGCCTGTCGACACTGGGATTGAGCCAGTGATGGAAATGAGACCCGAGAGCATGAACCGTATGACAGATCAGCTGGACGATAGGAGGAGACCACCCAGGAAAGCCCCGTTGAATACAAACCGCGCGTGCGCAACTCGTGTTAGACCTGATAGATAAGTAGGTGGGTATTGCACCGATGAATAGGGACTGGGAAGAAAGTAGACAAGAAAAAAACAATCAAATACACTAGTGTGAACTGAATTGCTATGTACAACCTAAGTGACAGGTTCGTACACGTACAGGACATGTAGAGAAATATCCAATTGAAGATTTCGGCATCTCATCTTCATCGTGTGCCAGGAATCGCGGTATGAAGACTTTGTGATAAAGTAGAACACGATAGCGTAACCAATCCAGTACTATGCCTGTCAACTAGAAGTATGTACACATGATGACATCGAGCACCTGGGAACGGATCTTACTTGCATTGGATTAGTACTTACTCTCGTTACCCCTAGAACGGCACTCTATCAGTGGGCCTAGAACCTCCAGAGAAGTACTGAATGGAACTCCTCCTTCCTCATCAGCTGGAAACAAAAACATGGGACGAGTCAACTCCGACCGGATGCTCCTGCAAAGAAACCTTTTAACCGAAGCAGTATATGAAGCCAAGGATTCTGGAGGAAACCTTATTGGTCGATCAATCACTACTACTTTCCATGAACTTTCCAAATCTTCTATATGCAACCAGCTTCGTTGCCCCAATTTATCTAGCCCCTGCCAAGCCCGTACCTGATTTAAGCAGCTCGGTTGAACGCATCAGGAAATCATGGGGCTATTTGAGTTTGATCCCCGACAAGAAACTCCACACAACTAGACGAACTCGGTTGCAAAGACCAGAGGGGACAGTCAGCAGGGGTAACCAATCCACTTATTCCTCACCCCTGTCCCCTGTCAGCTGGGACCTCGCAAAGACCAGGATTGGACTGGGACAAGGGCTTCTGCGTGATAGAACGAAACAAGCAGGTTACAGTTGGCCAGGGTCAGAAAGAGTTGACCAGGGGGTAGAAATTTTGTGGCGCAACAAAGTTGATCAGGGTCAAATGTTCTAACCCTGGCCAAGTTTTTGCCAAGGATAGCTTACCAAATTAGGTATAAAGCACAGTACTAGACTTTTATAGTATTTCATATGCAAAGCATATGTATAGTTACATATGTTTTGCATATACGGTACTATACTATTACGGTTATATATACTATATATAGGATTAATATACTAAATATATCTTAGATAATTAAGATTTAAGTAAGTAAGAATATTAATAGAAGTAGTCGCTATAATATAATATCGTTCAAGTTTCTATAAGTACTGAGCATATGTGCAGCATATGTGTAGCCTATGACTCACCTATGTGACGCGTATACCACGTAGTCTAATCGGAAGCTAACTTAAGCTTAGCATATGCTATAAAATGTAATAGTATCTGGATCTATAGATATACGTAACCGAAGATTACTTTATAGATATTTCCTAAAGCTAAGCTACATATATACGGTACATATGCAAATTATATAGTTTAGCCCTATATATATACTCCTACGCTATATATACGTTATATTTACTCCGTGTATAAGCTTTTCTCTGATACTGTGGTGATGATTTATTTGGTCAGACTATCGTTAGCGTTAGCTTGGCAAGACTTGGCCAGGGTGAGAAAATTTCTGACCCTGATCAACTTTGTTGCGCCACAAAATTTCTACCCCCTGGTCAACTCTTTCTGACCCTGGCCAACTGTAACCTGCCTGAATGTGTGATGATCATATCCTTGAAACTTATCGCGAAAGTCTAATGGTCCCGAATGTCCCGCTCATGACTCTTGCGATGGAGAAGCATCACGGCCGAGTCCGCGTATTTAGGAACAGAACAATGCATATAATCCAGTGTCTGTCCAGCTTCATTTCTGTTGATCCATTCTTTCATCTGGTATTCATTCGGTCATCCGGTATATATCCTTCTTTTGTATCATTGTTTACGTTCTTTTTCTTTCAAGATGGCTTCTCATCGATCGTTCATTCCCTCGTTCCTGTCGCTCGTTACCCTGGTGGTTGCGCAGCAGTGCACGCTTCAGTTCGATGGCCGGGTGCCATCGGACTTTGTAGCAGCCACCTTCGACACCGCTGCCAATACCATGTTCAATCCCGATTTTACTTTCGGAGCCAGTAAGCCCACCGAACCCGCCACCGGATTGGTAGATTCGGGATATACTAAACAAGGTTCCAGACTTGTCCATCAGCGACGTCGTGGAAGTCCCTTGCGTGACGAGCTCACTTGTAAGCAGAACCCGTATTCTGCATGCTATAGGAACATTCAACTGACTATACTTTAGTTTGATGCCAAGAATGCCACAAAGGCAGTTGAGGTCACTATTGAGTTCGTTCTCACCTACCACCAGGCTGTACCACAATAAACTAACCAGCACACAGTGACAAATCCATCTTCACCCCCAGCGCCGACAACGTCCAACTCGGCTTCCGCCGCGCCGAGCTCATGATCACGAGCAACGACGGCACTGACGACTCGACCCTCGGAGTGAAGACAACCCACTTCAGTATCATGAAGGATGCGGCCAGGCCGCTTAACATGTCGCACGAGTATCAGCTCTTCTTCCTTGAGAGCGCCGACTTCAGCACGAACCAGGTTGTTCTCAAGACCGGGTCCATCATCGGTGCCGACACTCCGAATCCCGACACTCTGCAGCTGTTCGGCAACGTCAACTCCAGCCCGCTCCAGACTCTGTTCTCTACCAATTTCACTGAAGGTGTTTTCCACAACTTTGCTGTGACATTGGACTTTGACAAGAAGTAAGTTATTTCTCTCCCTGCTTGTCTCATCTCACAATGAGTACCATTTTGCTGACACCATAATTTTAGCACCACCCAAGTCTTCTACTCCCAAGACAGCAGTGCCTTGGAAGCTCAGACGGAGCCGCTGGCCAACGACGTCAGCGGACAGGGCCAGTACCACTTCGGTGTTCTCAAGAAGGGCATTGGCGGCGATGTCGACATTACCCGTCTCGCTTTCCAGCCCGCTGGCATTGATGAGGGTATCATTTACGGTGGCATCTTCCAAGAAGACAGCGCGGATGGCTGCATCAGTCTGTCGGCTTAATTGTGTACATGTGGGATGGATTTTGTTAGACAACACGGCGAGCACCGGTCGTCTGCTTCATAGTCTCAGCCCTGAAAAGGTGCAATAAACTCATGACACAACTCATATGATTCCATGCCGGTACCACGTCTTCCATCGGCGCAATCAACCCAAGAGCGCCAATAAGCTGTCAAAGTCTCCTATAGTTCCAACCCCAGTCACACAGTCATACCCAGCAAGCGCCTCAAACCCCGTCTCAATCTCAGTCCCAAACATACACCCCTGACTCGTTCCGCCCACCACATCCTCCCACACCTGCCTTACAGGCGACAAATAAATCGCCGGATTCAGCCACCCAGTACTGTTCCTTCCCGCCCTCAACCTTGCTTCATTAATCCTCGCCATCACGGCCGCCACAACCGGCGTACTCGCACTCGTCCCCAAGACCCCCGTCTCTTCTCCCCTCCACTCGATCACAAACCCCGTGCCCACCGCACTTAGATCCGGCACTGCCCGCCCACTATTATTATACAACCCAACATGGTTCCCCGTGAGCGCCTGTATATACCCTTCTATAGCCGTCTTCTGCCACCCGGGCGCCTCAAAGTAATTGCTGAAGCCGCCCGCGCTGAAGCTCATTCCTTGGAACGGCCTCTGTTCCCCTGTGGCCCCCACGGCCGTGACGTAAGGACACGACGCCGGGAACGTAGGTATGAACTCCTCGGTCTTGAGCCCGTCATTGCTATAACATCCATTCTGCCCCGTCCCCATTACCCCGCCGTCCCCCGAGGCAACGAGGACCGTGGTCCCCCGTGCAGTAAGCTGCGCGAAGAGATCACATACCCTGACTGCGTAGGGATAAGGCACCGATTGCTCGTCGTCGGCGTACGAAATACTCAACACCTGCGGTCGTTCCGTATCCGGGAGCGCAAGCAGGTATTCCAAAAATTCAAGATAAGGCTCGTTATCGCTTCTCGCCGCATCAATGGGTTTCCCTTCAGCATCGAGTTTCGCCCCTCGTCCGCCGACAGAGTAGTACGTCACGTGAGAGGGGTACCCGAGCGCCATGGCGTACTGCATGTCGAGGCTGGCTTCGAGGCCGGCTGTGCTGAGGGGGGTTTGCGGATTCGTGCCATTATTCACGAGGATGACGGAGAAGGAGTAGTTTGCGGCGTGGAGGTCAGGGGCGTGTTTGCTGAGGAAAGTAGAGACGTCTTCGGCGTTGATGTATTGGTCTAGGAAGCCGGTTATGCCTAGGTGGACGGGGGAGGGGGAGAAAAGGGGTGGTGGAGGGGGAGTGGTGAGGTTGTAGAGCGTTTTGAGGCAGGAAGGGGTGACGAGGCCCGAGGGGCAGGGTTGAGGGCTTTGGCGGGAGTGGACGGCTGATGGGTCGGGTGGAATGGGGACGTCAATGGGATTGTCCGGCGGAGGCGGAGGCGGCGGGAGAGGAGGAAGAGGATGAGGTTCGAGCCGTAAATATGTTGGTGGCATGAAGTGCGTTAAGGGGTGGATGAAGTCGATGTAGCCAGACAGCGATTCGGGGATGGAGTACGACTCCGCTCGAAGCCGTGTTGCTGAATTGTCAAAGGAGTAGTGGCCCACAGTGGTGTTAAACAGGTCTTCGACGTAAAAAACAGTATCCGTGAAGCTGATAGACGAGTTTGATACTGTCATGTTCTCGAATCCGCTTTTCTCTAGCCATGCATACACGGACTGAACAGCGTCGAGATCTGCTGCTCGGTATGCTTCCAATTGTTCCCTGGAGAAGTGATGTCCATATTCGGGATGAGCCGGGTCGCTGATTTCCTCCAGTCTAGATTTTAAATCGTCCATTCGGGGCTGCTTCAGCAGAATCGTTAAAGATATCGGCTCGCTCAGGGCTGCCTGTTTCTCTAACTTCCATCCCCTTGGCAGTTTGACCATTCGTTGCTGCGCTGGAATTTGACCCACTGCATGGCTCGTAGTTGCCCCAAAGAGAGCGATGTATACTATGAGATTGAACAACCTCATCGTTCAAGTCAGCTTGTAGAAGTAGAACGAGTAGTCTAAAGTCAGTGGAGGATTCTGCCCGCTCTCATGATTACGGAAGCTGGGGTACAGATGACGGAAGATAAGCGGCCATAGTTCCTGCAGAGACCAGGTCTACCTCTCTTCAAACGACGCCTGGGATTAATCGAGCCCCCGGAGCGTCATAGCCGCGACCCAGCTCAGAGGCCATGTGCCGACAGGTTCGCCCCTTTTAGCCGGACCGGTCACTTTTCAGCGCCAATAAGCATGCGATGATACTAAATTCGCGACTATAATTCACATTTTTAGTTACGGCAAAATTACCACACATTAGAGATTGTTCACCTGAGTAATTCACTTCATCACTAGCGGTAGATAGAACTAAAGGAATGTATAATTCGTCGTGGCATTCGAGATCGGCCACGATAAGCAAGTCGACGGAGTGGGAAGAGGAAAAGGGAATGTATATCGCTGGTTTATGAATAATATAATTTCATGTTCTAGTGTGAAGCTTACTAAACATGACCGTTGAATCTCTGCAGTAGTTAAAGTAAACAGCACTTTATTTTGATTGGTTTAATTGTAGTGGTTTCAAGAATAGAACCCACAGACTACAGCAAGAGGACCTTACCTACGACCCCCACAATCCTCCGCAGAAAATTCCTCTAGTCTATCTCGAAGTCATCCCCGATGAGATCCTCACTCAACCTCCATAGCTTCTCAGCTGCAACCGGATCCGTCGCCCAAGGAGCGGCCTCTGCAAATTGACAGTCCAACAAGTAGACACCATCGGCGTCTGAAATATGGTATTAGCAGTGATATCCAAACAAATAATCCATGACTTACCATTGAGAGCTGGATCCAATGCAGCAACCAGTGTGGCCGAAGCACCTTCGTCGATATTCTTCCAATAATTCGATGTCTTCAAAATCTCCTGGTTATACTCGTCCTGCTGCTCTCGTCCCAAATTCGTAGTGACGCCTGAAAATGCTTAGCATCAATATTTCAACCTGTTTCTCCCATATTTTCTGCTGTAGTCTTGCGTCAAGAGCAAATAGATCCACTCACCACCAGGATGCACCGCAAACGCCTCAATCCCCCTCCCCTGCAAATACTTCTGCAAATACACACTAAACAGCACATTGGCTGTCTTGCTCTGCGCATACGCCACCGTCGGCATATACCCATCGTCCAACACCTCGGCAAACACGCGCGGCATGGGCGCGGCCGGCTTTTCCTCGTCGGGAACTTCCTTATTCTCGATATTGTAATCGTGGAACCGAAACGGCGACAGCCAATGTGCCTGGCTCGACAAATTGACAATGCGCGTACTCCCCTTCGGATTCCCCTCCGTCGACGCTGCAGCCTCGAGGAGCGGTAGCAAGAGTTTGGTGAGGAGAAAGTGCCCCACGTGGTTAGCGCCGAATTGGAGCTCGATTCCCTCTTCCGTCTTCTTGCGGACGGCGGGCGCGACGCCGGCGTTGTTGATGAGGAGGTGGAGCTTAGAGACTAGGTTGGCGACTTCGGAGGCGGCTTTGCGGATGGAAGACTGTGAGGCTAAGTCCAGGAGAACTATTTGCACGTTCACGTCGGGATAGTGGGAGTGGATTTCCGAGACGACTTGGTCCATCTTCGATTTGGTTCGGGAGGCGAGGATTAGAGTTGAGGGGTTCTGTGAGGCAAATGCGAGGGCGGTGCCGCTGCCCACCCCGTCAGGGGATACACCGGTAATGAGGACTGCGAGGAAGAGTATGAGTTATCTCTGTTCAAAACGAGGTTATGGTTTCTCACCATTTCGACCCTTGACCTGGTCTGCGAAGACTTTCGCAACTTCCAACCCGGATGTTGTCTCGCCCCAATTTGGATTTGAAGTCATCGTCAATGGTTATCCGCTATGCTTGATTAGCCTCTTGGGCGTTGTAGGATCAGAAAGACTTGCGCAAACGCCTCCGGCTAAGCTGTGTTAATTATCCAATCCAGTTTATTCCCGAGGTGAATGTCGGAAGTGCATCTAAAGCCGTACCAAACTCTAGACTTCAGGTGGTATCTTCCCCGGGCTCCTTCAGGCGAATAGCAGAACTGCCGGTTATATACTTCGAAGTACATGCTCCCATATTGTTTAATCAGACTCCTAACGCAGGGTGCGCAGCCTATAGAAGCTTAGCCTATGTCTAGTTCCGCCAACCAGATGTCATCATCTCGGCATAATAACCCAAGCCTATTGGAATTGACAACCAGAATCCGAGTCCTGGGGTAATGTCAGCCTGTTTCCCAACACGTTGTGCCGAATATAGTGTGATTATGACCCCGCCCCCGCATTCGACATTTTGAGAGAATGTGGCATGATTATTGTGAATGTGGAGTCGTGGGGATATGCTTAGGGTACGTGGCATACCGAGGTACAGGTCAACAGACACGGAATGGAACTGTACTGTGTAATTGTACGTCGCTTGAGGACTGAAACTCGAGGATACCATGTTGAGATTATAGGTAGTGGCACAAATTTTGATTTCAAAGACACCCACATGATACAGGAGTTTTGCTGTGTCTCGTTGCAGTATCCATCGCACATCGACGCCCGATGGCGGCCAACGGCGCCACGAACGGCTCCTCAGAGCGCCCACAGACTGGTATCACAGTCATCGTAGTTGGAGCAGGTAAGCCACGCCAAAGATACCGCCCTTCTATACGCACCACATCTAGGGAACAATTGATTACTTACATTCATCCCCCAAACCACAGGCTTCGGCGGCCTAGGCGCTGCCATCGAATGCCACCGCCACGGCCACAAGGTCTCCATCTACGAAGCGTTCCCGGAGCTCAAAGCGCTAGGGGACATCATCTCGTTCGGCCCAAACGCAGGGCGCATCTTCCACCGGTGGTCCAACGGGTCCGTAGCGCAACGCATGCGCGACTTTAGCATCGACCTGCAGAAGTATGGTTTTAACATCCACAAGTATGACACGGGAGAAGTCGTGTTAAACCAACGGGCGCCCGCAGGGGATCCCGCGGCGCCGAATTTCAATGGACATCGCGGAGAGCTGCACCAGGTCGTGTATGATTACGCGACGCAGGAGTTGGGTATCCCGATTCATTTGGGGAATAATATTAAGACGTATTTCGAGGATGATGAGGGGGCCGGGATTGAGTTGGAGAGCGGGGAGAAGGTAAGGAGTTACCTCTTTTGCATACAGATGGACTTACTGTGAGAAAGGTTGAGGCCGATGTTGTCATTGCCGCAGATGGGGTGAGATCCAAAGCCAGGAAATCCGTCCTGGGATACGAGGACAAACCCAAGAGCAGTGGGTATGCCGTGTGGCGCGCCTGGTGAGTGACGAGTTCAACCATGCCCCCTTCTTCTTTACCCCTATTCACCAACGTACACAGCAGCTAACCAAACCGGGGCACCAGGTTCTCCAACAAAGACATGCTAGCCGACCCCCTGACCGCCCAATTCTGCAACAACGGCGACACTTTCAACGGCTGGATCGGGCCGGACATGCACTTCCTTTTCAGCACCATCAAAAACGGGTCAGACTGCAGCTGGGTGCTCACCCACCCCGACGAGCACAACATCGACGAATCATGGAGCTTCCCGGGCAAGTTATCCGAAGTCCTCGCTTCCATCAAAGACTGGGACCCCATGTGCTCGCGCATCATCAGCAAAACCCCCGAAGACAAGCTCGTCGACTGGAAACTGGTGTACCGCGACCCTTTGCCGACGTGGGCTAGCCCCAAAGGCAGGATTTTGTTGTTGGGCGACTCGGCGCACCCGTTTTTACCTACAAGTGCGCAGGGGGCGGCGCAGGCGATTGAGGATGCGGTGACGATCGCGACGTGTTTGAGACGTGGGGGAAAGGGCAGTGTACCGACAGCGGTTAGAGCGCACGAGAGGATTAGGTATGAGAGGGTGAAGGCGGCGCAGAAGACGGGGGAGAGTACGAGAGATATGTGGCATAAGACGGATTGGGCTAAGGTGAAGGAGAACCCGGAGATTATCAGTTTTCCGAGACTGGATTGGATATTTGGACATGATGCTGAGAAGCATGCGGAGGAGCAGTATGATGTGGTTGTGAAGGAACTTGCGGGTAAATAGATAGATGGTTCGAACGGACATGGAAGGTGAGAGTGGGGGTATCAGATATTGTGTTCTAGCTGTTGCGTATTTCATCATACGTAATTGCATCCTGGCTCTGCGATCGCATCTAATCTTCAATTCTGCTGTTGGTCCCAAACACAAATGAGCTTTCATTACGCCAACCTCTTCCGCATAGCGAGTTATTCTACAGCGTGGTCTTGGTCCACCTTCTCGGTGATCGCAGGAACAGTCGCCTTGCCCTCATCGTGGGAGGCTTCGGGTTTCTCATGCGACTTCTCTAGGACTGTGTGCGTTCCCGTGCAGCGATACCCGCGGAACTTCCTTGCCGGAAGTCGGGCCTCGAACTGTTATACAGTATTAGCAATTGATACTTGCGAAACCCGCAACAAGACTGAAGCTTACCATCTCGTCAATTTCTTCCAATGACCGGTCCTTGACCTCCGGAAGGTAGAAGTAAACCCAGGTCATAGCAATCCAACAAGACGGTGCCCAGATGTACCCGTATCTCGGTCCCCAATTGAGCGAGTCTGGATTGATGAAGTACGGCGCAGTGAAAGTGGTGAGCCACTGTGGAGGATTAGCTGGTGGGTATTCGTCCAGGGGTTGGTTGGCTAAGTACATACCGCTCCAAAGAAGCCAATAGCAGTAGCCATCCCAAACGTGTACGATCTGAGCCTCTGCGAAGACAGCTCTCCTCCTGATACCCAGGCGTAAGATGAAATCATGCCATTGTAGGCGACGATGTATATGACCGAGATCCCAACGACCACTTTACCAGTAGTCGCTGTCCCTGGTTGCACCGTGTACACAATTGCGATAATAAGCTGTGACAAACCGCAAAGCCCTAGGCCATTCATCATCATGACGCGGCGGTAACCAATCCGCGTTACGAGAAAACTGTTGAGAAGCAAGGCGAAGACACCGACGGCGTTGAGGATGACCGAGTTCTGGAACGCGTCGCCGACATTGGCCATTTGGAAGAAGTACGTTCCGTATGCTGTGAAACTTGTCAGCAAACATGTTGAAATGGTTCAGTCAGGGATACCAACAGATGATAAACATGGCACCAGAAGCGGCCTGCGTGGTCAATACGAGAACAGAAACGACTGTCCTCCGACGATCAATGGGGTTCTTGAACAAGTCGAGAAACCCGACGCTCGATTGAATGAGTGCTTCAGCCGCCAGAGCTGTCTCCATCTCAGCCAGTTCCTCGGAAACGGACCACGTCTTGGGACGCAGCCAGAGTAGGGACTTCTCTGCCTCATCCATCTTGCCCAGACTGGCAAGCCAGCGGGGTGACTCGGGAATGAAGAACAAGCCGATGAAGAGGATGCCAGGGACTACATGCACAATTCCGAGCGGGACGATGTAAGCATTACGGCTGGGAATAGAGGCCGTGTAATTGTCGACGATGGTGCCAACAAATGATCCTATGTCTGGAGTTAGAGCACAGAAGTAGAGATGTCGTTTATGTGACGATACCCACCGACCGTGACCCACCAAGAGAAGGCCGAAATCCCTAGACCTCTGTACTTCCCAGGAAGAATCTCCTTTAATCATGTATGAGTATATAGCAGCATGACCGCGGATTAATTAATGAAAGCTCACCTGAATGTACAATTGCGCATGCGTCATCAACATTCCATTCGCCAGTCCGATGATCAGTCTCCCCGCGTAGAGCGCGCCGATGCTCGTAGTTGCTTGCATGATCACCGTCGAAACAAACACTCCAAAACACGCAATCCACAGTGACATCTTTCGTCCAACATATCGAGAGGTGAACCCAGCCGCCATGGAAGCAACGAAGGCTCCCAGGATCATGAGCGAGGCAATGAGTTGTTGTCGGTCATGGGGAATGTTGTACCCGATGGCCGTCGAGGGGTCCTTGACTCCAAACACCTGGCGAATATGGGTCAGACAATGCTGACAATAATTTAGTATTGTATGATGACTTGCCTGTAAGAAAGGAATCATGGCTTGCAAGCCACCGATGATGCCAAAATCGACGCCATACTGGAACGAGGCTAGCGATGCCAAGCTCATCGCGAATAACCCCTTTCGATGGGCCTTCAGCCCCAGCTCCTGTTGGTTGTTGGTCGCCATCTTTGCAATTCGAATTTTAGTAACAGAACACACTGCGAGGAAGCTGTGAAGTCAACATGTAATAGTGGGCTCTGACCGAGAGTTGAGCGAGAAGGGCAGTCCACCTGCAGCACACGACATGGCGAGGACAAGCACTGGGTCCCTTAGCTACATATATTTGTACAAACTTGTACCGAAATATTCTAGTTCCGCGGCAACTGCAAAACTCGTGTGGTAAAGGACGCGGCAATCATATTCGACCTGTTTGAACCTGTCCTGGGCCGAGTCAACTCGTGGCATTTCCCCGCACCCTACCATGGTCGGGACGTGGGAATGACGGGTCAGCAACGGCACTTGCATCTATGTTGTTGCGTGTCATCATTTAAACTCAATTGAAGTGAACCATATGGTCATTCAACATAGATCACTGTCCCATGAGATGCAACACTTACGAAGACGCGCGGATATCCTGCGAAACTCCATTGTGTCATCTGGCATTGTTGCTTCTGCAGAATGTTGACAGAGAAGAATGTGGAGAAATATTAATTAGTTTCAATCAGCCTAACAGGACTTCAGATGCTGTATGAGTAACATAGGGGGGTTATGCAATGGGACTAGCTCGTTTCAGTCATCCTCCTGATACCTCGTAAATGGTAGCTTAGCCTGCTCCCCCAGTGCCTAAAATATGGTCCTTTGGCCCGAAAACTTCAATTCTACCTTGGCGTGACCAGCCGCTCTCCAAGATTGAGATGTCTTGTCACAAATCCATTGAGATTGATAGTAATGGTTCCTACTCGTTCGTACAGAATAGACCATAATCTGCCACGTAGAAGCCCATACGAAGTAGGAGCTCCAGGTACCTGCAGACGTACCCTTTGAGCCATTCGAGCCTCATTGACTTGCTGCACTGCATTTGAAGACGGACCAGCCCTCCAGGATAAAATATGCGAGAACGCCACCAGACATGACTATTTCCAGCTCGGGCAGCTCGTCCAAGTTGGCTGTGGGCACATGATTGGGCACAAGATAATTGACTGACATGGCGATCCACCAACTCAAAAATTGCATATTCAGCTGAGGAGAGCCGGTTGACAAGGCAGCTTTTGGGAATGTTCAGCGATACAGTCTTGCCCATTGGCCCTGCTTTCGGGACACGCTCGAGAAGGATATAGAATGACCATATGACCGATGGAGGACCCTCATTACAAGGCTCCAGATGCTCAGTCAACAAATTTTGAATATTACAGACCTGAGATCAGCCTAATGATGAGAAGCTCACTTCTGTGACATTGGATTATCTAGCACCGCGCCGTGGCCGCTCACCACGCGCATTGCAACCTCAAAAGTTTTGATTGTGCTTGAAAATGAAAAAATAAGTGTCCAAGCCAGTCAATTTTCTTTCTCACGAAAAAGCATGGCATCATTGGAGCGAAGTTCTCGATCTCAGAGGCGCTGCCAGGCAGCGTTGGTAGCAGAGTTAAATTTACAGTTAACCAATAGAATTACGGTTAATACTAGCATTGTGGGATTGAGCGCCATATGTGTGCCTGAGGTGGTGCCTGAGATGCTACCATGAGGGATTCAACCCTCAGATGATGACTCTGTACAGATCCTGTATTGGTTACATAGCACTCCGAGCAGTCAATACACACATCACACTGCGCATCGAGCATGTAACCAATACAGGATCTGTACAGAGTCATCATCTGAGGGTTGAATCCCTCAAGCATTACCTTCTTGAAATCATATATTACTCCGGCAGATGGAATCCAAAACTTGTGTTGCGTCCTCTGCCAGCGCACGAAAAGCCATTGACGGCCGAGGCGCGCTTGGAGACAAGAACGAGTTTGATGATGGCATCAAGAATTCCGGGGTGCATGTCCTGTAGCATTGGCGTTTTTGCTGTTCGTACTGGGCTCATAGCGTTCCGGAACATAATGTTCATGCCAACCTGGTAAATGGACGGAGGGTACAAAGCAAATCGAAGTGCTTGTCGAATTAGCTGAGCATATGTAGCATTACTTTTACGGTATATATGATCGGGGACCGGTAGACCCCGAAGCATATGGAAATACCTGGACTTATATATTTTAATCCCGCGTCCGAGTAGGTCTGCTTGTTTGAATGAATATAGAACTGATTACTTAATCGTACGATGGGCGGGGCCGATGGTCAAATAGACTGCAAAATATAACCTTCAGGGCCCAAATGTGATGGCGAGACCATGTCCCCTACCTAACAGGCCATTCAACGAACGCTAATAACGGCTGATGCCTTCGAGGATGCCTTCAAACCGATTGCGAAGGTTTGGCCACATAACCATAACCTTGACACTACTAGTACCCAGACGGGGGAATAACTATCTAGTGGACCGCGAAACACACATCGCTATGACCATGAGAAGTGATGGAAAATATTCGAGGAAGTTGCGATATCGTATGAAAATAAGATGGAGAGAGGTGATCGTCTTTTCGTATACTCCTACAAATTCCAAGGTCCAATGTGGGGAAGAGTAAGGCTATTAAGCGGATCAAGCACTCCACCCACTGTCTCCGAAATAAGGTTCTGGAGAATGAACATCACGTTATCCGATAATTACGCCTGTAGAGTCGCTATTTGTTGCCAGCTTTCGGGGGGAATCCATACTACCCATTTCGGTGATACATGCTCCGGGGGCGCTCGGGCTTTAGGTGCTTACTACAGCAGGTCTCAACGCACCTCGGCAACTTGAAGCCAAGTGTGCTGTCGACCACTGGCTAGGAAAAAACACAAGATGGCAGTCCTCGACTCTCTGTATCTGGCAGGTGGCATTGTCGCCGCCACAGCCATACCAATTTACATCTTTGCACGCCTAGGAAGAAAGCTACGCGTTCTGAATTCATCAGAGGAACGCGTCCTCATCCTTGGCGCCTCGAGCGGCGTGGGACGCGCCATCGCACAACAGTACGCCCGTCGCGGTGCCCGTGTGTGCATCGTTGCGAGACGTGCGGAGAAGATCTCTGCGCTCGCTGCGGAATGCGGAAAAGGGTGCATTTGGGAGGTTGCGGACTTCACGGCGGCGGAGGATATGGTGCGGGTTAGGGATACGATTTTACGCAGTAAGTTGACACCAGTCAACGAAGACGGGTTTGCGCTTGGTACTGACCACTTGGGCAGAATGGGATGGGTTGGACACCCTGCATGTCTGCGCAGGAGTGTCAGCACTGCAGCCTGTCATGGCTCTCACTGGAGTCCAGTCTGCAGAGCAAGACGCAGGTAATTCGGGTATCGAGAATGCTGCCGATATAGCCAGGCGCGCAAGCCAAGGCAACTTTATTGGTCCATTCGTTGCGGCAGTAACCTTCGTAAGGTGCCATCCCTTCCAAAGCACCGCAGTGAAACTAACTAGTCTCGAAATAGATCCCAATGCTAACCCGCACCTCCACCACGCCATCTATCCTCCTCGTCTCCTCCGTCGCAGCCGTCGTACCCGCACCCACCCGCGCCCTCTACGCAGCCACCAAAGCATCCTCGCTGCTCCTCTTCCAATCTCTCGCTATAGAGCATCCAGGAATCGCTTTTACCTTTGTTCTCCCGGCTACCATCGAAGGAAACTTCCGTGCGTCGGCTGTGGATGCTGGCCCGGTCCTCGAGGCAGATCCGAACAAGTATGGCCTAAAGACCGAGTATGTTGCGAAACGGTGTATTGAGGCCGTGGACGGAAGGGTTACAGGCAATGTGGTGCTTCCTTGGTTCCCGTATGCCCTGGCGCATCATCTTTATTACTTGATTCCATCGTTTATTGAGCGAAGGGCGGCTAAGAAGTACAATTTCCCGTCATAGGGGAAGTTCGATCTGCATAGGCAACCCGAATGATGAACATACCTCGTCATCTTGGGAATGAGATGTTGTTTGGCAATGGGTGTCAGTTGATTGCATTTGAGAATGTCCTGCGTGTTTGACCCTGGCCAATGGGACTGGGAGTGCTTCATATTAAAGCCCCTGATAGCCTTGTGCAAGTGAGGCGATGCAGTGCAACATATCAAGGGGCGAATGTTGTCTTTTGTGCAATTAGATGTCTTACATCCTTCCTAATCAAATTGTTGCCAGCGCTTGTCTCTATACAAGCAGAATCATGGGACTACGCCATATAGGAACTGCGCTAACCGTAATCATCTCGTATTGAGCACGTCAAGTATACATGACGAGTGTGCTTTGTACAAAGCATACCATAGACCATGCCAAGGAATTGGTTTAATTTAGGATTCAACAATGCTACATGACCAGGCTGCCAAGCAACTCCATAACGCAAAAGATCGTGATCGTATACCTTTCGGTCACGGTTGCAGTAACCGGAAGCACGGGCCATCTATGGCCGGTTACTGCGGCTGAGGACCAGGGGAGGTGAAGCTGAGGGATATCTCTCGCCGAGCTGCTGCTGCTGCCTCGAGGTTTTCTCAGTCAGTCATCGCAGCTCCCTATGTCGCTCTAAGGGTTTTCATGCATCATTATCTATAGTATTTGCTATGTTCATATCAGCAAAGCCAACCAGATCAAGAGACCAGTCATCCGACTAGTCAGTCGCCGCCCCCTCTTATGTGCCTTTGCGACGGTCCAATAGCGCCAAGTCAACGCAAATGCGATGGAATTAGCCCACAGATACACGTACTCGCCTCTGCCACCAGGCTGCATCCGAGTCCTCGAACTCCACCCCTGGGCGTCAACTAACGCAGCCCTGAGATGTCGTGTCATCGTACAGCAGATAGACGAAGCTCCCTATGAGGCGCTCTCATACGTATGGGGCGATAAGACACCCTATGCTGACGTCCATTGCCATGATGGTGGTATCGACGATGAGAAGGGAGAGAACGATGGAGTTGCCAGTATCGGCGCCAACTTGGCTAAAGCCCTGATGGCATTCCGTCTCCCTGACGAGTCGCGACGGCTGTGGGTAGATGCCGTGTGTATCAACCAAGAAGACCTATCCGAACGACAATCCCAAGTCCGTCTCATGGGGCAAGTATTCCGCGACGCCTCGCACGTCCTCTGCTGGCTGGGTGGGTTCGAGGACCCAGAGCTGGGTCAGAAGAAAGCTGGTGTCGCTATTGACTTCCTGCGACGGTTCAATGCCGCGCCGCGAGAAGTCCTGAGGGAGGCACAGGATTATTTACACGCGACCAATGCCCACACCCCAACGCACAAGCCAACACTAGAGTCCTGGCTCCTAATCAAGGATTTGTTCGATGTCGAGTACTTCCACCGCGCCTGGATAATCCAAGAAGTCGGGCTCGCGCGCAAAGCGCGACTCTACTGGGGAAATACCGAGACTTGGGTCGACTGGGACGAAGTCGCCGCGTTTGCGCGGTTCATGGACGACAACGGGGCGAGTGTGATAAACTATTTCGAATTGAAATCGTGGGTGTGCAACCACATCAACCTCGTCTGGGAGATGAAGCCCGACGACGGGCTGCCGAAGTTCAATTTCGTCGAGGTGCTACATTGGGCGAGGATCCATCGCTCTACCGATCCGAGAGATTACGTGTATGCCCTTTTGGGACACCCCAGTGCGACGGAGAGTGGGACGAGGGGTTTGATTGTAGAGCCGGATTATAAGATTGGTACACCGGAGGCATATACAAATTTGGCGGTGAGTGATATTAGGAGGAGTGAAGGGTTGCATGTCCTGGCTTTTGTGGACCATGGGGAGAAGCCTGAGTCGAGGCGTAAGGGGTTGCCGACTTGGGTTCCAGATTGGCATGCGTTGAATTTGGTGGCGCCGTTGAGGTCGCCTACGCAGGCTGCACCGAAGACGGATGGGGGGATTGAGGTTCTCACAGCGGACGAAGAAGTCAAGCTGTGTTGCCGTGGGTTTGTTCTTGGTACGGTCATTGGCATGACGGAGATGATTGACCCGAAAGAACTTGTTGTTACGAGTCTTGAGGCAGAGATGAAGAAGGGGGTTCCCTTTCTGGTCGACCATATCTGGGACAGGATCGTCAAACAACCCGAGTCCCCTCTCGAGTCTTCCGAGCAGTTCATTGACGCGCTCAGCTTTGTCCTCACAGGTGGTCATCTTGGCACGGACAAGGCAGATTCGGGGGAGCGCCGATACCAACAGAGAGCAGATTACGCAGCGTTTATCCTCAAGTTCGAACAAATACGACCAAACAACTCAAGTCCTGGCTTCCTTCACAGTCTGATGCCAGAAGACCGGAAAGCGGTCGAAAAGCTGGCATCAAAAGGTTCCGCAGCCCAGTTCGTCCAGGACATGACGTGGACTTCGATGTGCCGGAAGGTGTTTCGCACAAAAAAAGGGCACATTGGCCTTGGTCCACGGATCATGGAAGCGGATGATGTATGTGCAGTGTTTTTAGGAGCGATATACCCTATAATCTTACGGAAGCGTGGTGATGATTTTGAACTTATTGGCCCGGCTTTGATTTATGGGTTTATGAACAGGGAGGCTGTGGGGGCTTGGAGAAGGGGCGAGCTTGGTGAGAGACAATTTCGCCTCGTATGAATTGCGGTGTGTAGAGGAGGGAATCCATGATCGAGAGGCCTGAGAGGGCGATGGATTAAGGCCATATGGTAGCATTTTGAACATGGCAATTAATGTACTATAAGGTATGGTCTGGACTGAACATAGAGACTCATATATATTAGCAAAACCTTCGATCTTGGGCATATGAAGGACTAGGTACATAATCACGTACTATTGGAATATTGGATGTGACAGGCTGTGCCTGAAATGGGATCCGGAGCTGCAAGAACCTTGCGTCCGGATCCAACAAAGGAACCATCGAGGGCATATAAAAACATAGTTTGTGTTCTCGGAAAACTCGCTTATTTTACTTTCCTCCTCAGTTAGATAATTAACAGTATTTGGCCATGTTGAGCTGTATAGTTTCGCAGTGAGCCCGTCACATTGGATTTGCACTAAAGATAAGATCAAGAAGTGTAGTTCCCAATGACCATTCTTCTCGAATAGGCGGATTATATACAATACTGAACAAGTTTTCCAGAAAAAGGCCTGTGCAGCCGTGGCGGATAATCAGTATAGATACGACAGCATCTCATATACAGAGAATAGCATTACTACACTACACGACAATAAGATGCGAACTGCTATATGATTCTAGCGCTCTGCTAGTGCCTATAAGGCCAAGGAAGCTTCTGTCAGGGTACGGCTAGGCCGAAGGCAATAGTACAGAGTGATGGGGAGTAACGGGCGTCCCTCCTACGTAATACCGGGTGGTCACTGGCGGTCTCAGGTAGGGGTGCCCACGGTGATGCATTGATCTCTGCCCTCTCTATCTTCCTCCGTCTCGACTCCTTACTTATAGCCAGCCGAGGTTCTCTCTTGGATTCTGGATGTTTGCTTCCGTATGTCTGTGTTCCTCCGACTTCGGCCAATATCTTGGACAGCGGCTCCTTATCTGCAACCAAGCGATTCCCTATCCGTTGCAAACGGCTTCAACGGCTCTCATTCGCCACAAGCGGCTCTCTAGCCGCCACAAACGGCTTCCTACCTGGTGGAAGCCGGCCCGCCTCGGATGACACTTGTGGCTCTGACAACTCCTTCCCTATCCTACTTCGAGATGGCCCTTATATAGATAGCTAGGCCGCCGCTTGGACCCGGCATAACAGCAGGGTCGGCGATGCCAAGGATCTTGACTCTCGTCATCCCAAAGCTTCACATAGATTGTAATCATGACTCGGGAGTCTTTTGTCCGAAACACCCCTCCGGCGGCCCACCGGTGTCCTGCGTTCAGTGTCCTGACACCCACTGGTGCCTATGGCATTCTGTTCTCTGACAGCTTCTTAAATAGAAGATAAGGCCTAGCGTCTCATTAGTCTCCTCTTTTGTAGGATCATTAGCGAGACGGTGGCGTAGAGTGCTATGCGGCATATAGTTAGTTCTGGATGACTAGCGTCATAACCTGCTATCAAGTACGTTAACTATAGCGTTACATATGGATATTTTAGCTAAGATATACATAGTGGGAGGTAGGGCTAAAGCAGAATAATAATTCATTAAGTTTTCTTATCAATTGGACCCGTACATGTGACGTTATATAGGAAATAGTAGTGGGAATGCATAGGTTCGCGTCGCCTCGTAGAGTCGGCCCTTGAGTGGGGTGGCCGCAGATGAGTACGTTGACTTATGAATAAGGCTCGGGTATAACAATTTGTGTATTCTTCATGATGGAACAGTACTTGTAACTACTATATAGCCGGCGGTCATCGCAATGACTTTATGTGGTGCGCGGTAAACTCAAAAGGTGGTCGATCGTACGGTGAACATATAATCAATGTGGATCACTTTACGCCCGCACCGAGTGCCAATAATATGTCAAGTCGGCTGGTGTAGTTGGTCACTTCGCTGGTAGATAAGTCCCGATTTGAGCCTCGCCCACTTGGGTCGGTGACGAGTCGCGGGTTCGAATCCCGCAGCTGACACACAAGGGGGTTTAGTCAACCCTTACGGCGCGCTGCCCACCTTGTTGACTTCGCCTACCTAGCGATAATAGGGAGATTGGTGCAGTTTAGGATTACGAGCATCCTAGCCAGTCGACCGTCAAGCACTACGTCGGCGGAATATAACTCGACAGCCGGTCCAGAATTCGAATCGTTAATCCGACCCCTTATCGGACCTCGCCTATCCGATAACGCTCGTCGGCGAACCCGTCCCCTCACGATAGAAGGCGCGCAGCACGCCCTCCCGCCGCGATTCATGCGAGCGTCTAGACTACATTACGGTCTATCCACTTGAGCGTATGGTTGCGATGTATACGCTCGACGAGAACCCCAATTAGCAGATACTACGACTTGTCGCGACAAAAAATAGTCGAGCATCTTCTGCACATCAGCAGCATCCCACCCCTGAGGACGAATTTAAGTGCCACATTACCACACTTATCGGTAGTTCAGGCAGGGGTTGTAGCACAGACTTAGGGAGGGACAGGAGGTTTAGTAGTCGTTTGGCTACAAGTTTACCTGTATAACCGCCCGACGCGGCTTAAGGGCCCGCTATATCATCTATAGCCCCTTAAGGGAGTACTTGTAGAGGTACCGAGGGTTAACACCTACGGCGTATTTAATATTTTTTTATAATCAATGCCATCTTACACTGTACATCGCGAGGCTGCCCCTGTACCGTTAACACTGGGATTTCCAGTGCCACAGCCAAGCCTACGATATACACACATTCTTATGCACCCTCTGCTAGTGCTTCGGTCCGCGACTTGCTTGCTGGATCCAAGTATGGCACCTCCCCAATACCAACCGCCCTGTTTCCAAAGCGCTCACCAAGACCCTCATAGTCAAAAGTGGCAGTGTGGAACGCACTTCTGTTATCCCAAATCGCTGTATCCATCCTCGTCAGCTATTCACGTCCAGAATCCCCACCACTTCAAGGGGTTAACTTACCAATATCATTCTCATTGCTCCACTTAAACCTAACCGTCAAATCATGACTCTTGTAAATGACATCCAAAAATTTCTCCAAGAGCTCCTCCGACTCATCGGGCTCCAGCTCATTAATATACTGCGGGAACGGCCCGATGGCAAAAATGCTCTTCCATCCCGTAACCGGATTCGTCCTGACGACGGGGTGCACCGCGCTCAGATCCCTACCGACATTCTTCGGACTCCCACGCGCCTTCTCGTAAATCTTCACCTCCTCCGGATTCGCGGCCGCGGCTTTCATGAACCCCTCCCCCACGAACGTCGCTGTGAGCCCCTCGAAGAATTTCTGGTACGGCTTCGAAAAGCGGTCGTAGATCTCGTACCCGGAAGCCCACAGGGTATCACCCCCAGTTTTGGGAAGCTTCGTCAAGCGCAAGGAAGTGTAGTCTGCGGGCACGGGCTCAAACTGGATATCCGAGTGCCACTGTGCCGAGTCGTAGTGGCGCTTGTTGCGTTGCTGCTCGTGCGAGAAGAGCTTCTTGCGCGCTACCGAGCTGATGGTGCTGATTTCGGCGTCGTCGACGCCGAACTCGGATGTGTTGTTTAAGATCGGGTGGACATGTAGGGTTGAGGTGGAGGGTTTGCCGCTCAAGAGGCCGAGGCGGTGGTTGAGTTGCTTTTGCAGGGCGTTGGTGAGGTTGTCTTGGGCGCGGAAGAAGACCACACCTCGTTGGGAGACTATGCGAAGGTGTTAGTGCTGGATATTATATAGTGAAGGCGGAGAGAATGATTTACTAATGATAGCGAGGTCGCGCAGCAAGGCGTCTGAATCCTCAGCGTTAAGGAGGTCGTCGACGATGTTGACGTTGAGAAACTCGCGGCCGATGACGGGTGTTGTTTCCTCAAATTCGAACTTGTCCATTGCGCCACTCAGCTTCAATGGTTCTCTTACATAAGATGCCCTTTTCTTTGTGCCATCATTGTCATTTTCGGATGGCAGTGAATGGATTGGGACATCTGAGGTGAGTCCAGGTGCCATAACGTCGAATTTTGGTCAGAATTGGATGGACTTCTGATGATTTCCCTGTTAATTAAGAGTGAACCTATGCAATCCGAAATAGTAAAAAGCAATATTTCAGAGTGGGAGACGTCGGTGTATTAATAGCCGCATAGTCGCTGCACTTCGACCCCGCGATAGTCGCTGGGTGAGGGGCTGGCATATCACGCAATCCCGTCGCAGAGACACGCAACCGGATGTCGTCAATGATGTAGCCGAACTAGCAAATCAGCAGTCACATCGACCGACAAGCTGGCGATTGCGTCTTACCTCACTTATGCACGAGGACTTCAAACTACTTGGCGTCTGCTCCCACGGTGCTAGGAAGATTCCGCTTCCAGGGATCTGAGTGTGGCCGTAATCACCAGTATCTCGTGCCAGTGTAACCAATAGGGAAGTCTTCAGTAAACGGTTACATATACTTGTTTGAGCGACTTTAAACCAAAGAGACTTAGTGAGTCCCATGCCCTCAAGTCTCGAAAGTACTAAGTTTATGGACAAAATTGATGGCAACTAAATCGGATGTGCACCTCATCTCAGGTTGACTTGAATTTTGCCACATTTACTTGGAATTATGTGCTCGTTCTGATCGTGCAATACTCGCAACCAATACTCGCATCCTCGTCTCGGCGATTCGGGGGAACAACTGATATTCCCGAAGCCCTACGCCCCGCGTCGCGTCTAGAAGTGTATGTCGTCGCAAGCGGATTTGCTATTCCAGCATACCACAATGCTCTGCATGAACTTACATGCGGCAGGTATCGCACAGGGAAAATATGATTTAAATCAGTAAAGCTACTGTTGTGACAAGGTAGTTTCACATATAAATCTATTTCATTTATTTCTAATCAAGCAACCACATCTGTCAGGCTATATTCGGTTGACGTCTCTTTTTAGTCTTCAACACGAACTTAAAAGGCCGTCACTCCATCAACTCCAAACCTTATTTACAAAATAGGTGTGTAAGTATCGAAGCCATGAATAAAAGTATCGATGTCCTCCTGATCATACACACAATCCAGGTTGGCAGTGCTATCCCAGGCGTCGGCGATCTTGTTTTATGCGGTCTTCACGTCATCGAGGCCGAAACACAGGAATCCATATCAATAACCGTGTATTCTTTCGCCAAAGAAATAATCTTGAAGATATAACCATTCTTGAAAATATATCTGGCAGGGCCAAGCTTTTCTCGCCTTGTCATGGCGAGGGCCGACCATGTTGTGCGGCTCTTTCGCTCGCCTCTACCTCAGCTATAGCCACGTGTCAGACCTTATAACAACCAAAAATACCTCATTCTAGAGCGAGTGGGTCCCTCGTCTTTTGACGGTCAATTTGGTCCAACACCACGTGTGGATCAAAAGACTCGGATTTTGATATTTTGCCGGATTAGCCTAACTTTCGCGACTTATACAGTCACCAAAGATGGATTTGGCGGTTTGGGTTATTCTAATTCATCCAAGTTGATGATTTCTTGGTATGCCGGTTTCCTAGAGTCGAGTCGTTTCTTCAGAACAATACCCGGCACGTGGTTCAGGAAGCTCATCGCTCTTCTCCTAAAATAAATAACCAGACCCAAGATGATGACGGCGACCACTACAAGTAGAGCCGTCCGCGAGCTGCGTAGATATTCACTGTTTTCTGTTGAACCAGTCTCCAGACTCATCAGAAGCAAGAGGCAAGAAGTCCAACCGGTGAATGCCCTGCTCCTCCTCCCTTGTCCACTATGATCACTGTACTGCTCCCAAAAAAAAGCCGGTCTGTTTCCAACTGTTGTGCACAATCTCTATCACGCGATTTCGTAGACTGGATGCAAGGTGTGAGAGCCCTCGCCTGCTCGGGACCAGCTTGTGTGCCTAGCTTCGATAGCTGCAATGTCGCTAATACGTTCAGGTTGATCCAGACCGCACCTCGCCAGTAGTCTTCGTCTTTGCCGTAGTTGGCGTCAGAGGCACTGAGGCTACGGATGCCGAACGGAGACCAGAGCTTGTCGGGATTCGACAGCAAGTCTAACATAGACGGCAGGTGAGAGTGGTTCCCGTCAACAAGGCCAAGCAATAATGGCATCAGTGAAATGTATCCAAGTCGGCAAACTCGTTCGTACTTGCCGTTTTGATCGATCGTAGCATCGCAGTACGCCTTCTCAGCCGGGTCCCAGTGCAAAACATCGAGATTGTGCAGCGTTTCATCGACCTGTTTTCCATACATGATAGCATCCCCTTCCTCTCCAAGGTGCAGCGCCATTTCTTGAAGTGCCTTAGCAGAGGCGGCTACCCATGCGAGTGCATCGATGTGAAGCTCGCCTGGATGAGGTGGGTTGGCTCGCGGGTAGTCATCAAGGCCGCTGGTCAACGTGTGCGTAGGTGTTCGGCCACGCCAGCGGTATCCTTCACCCGTGATGACTCCTTCAGGGCGGGTATACGCACTAAAGTTGCCAGCTTGCGTACGGCGGAACCATGCGTAGTGTCGATGGAGTAAAGGATAAAGACCTGTCAAAAGCTTCGAAGCCTCGTCGGGTGAGGACTGGTACCTAGATGGCTTCCCGGTATAAGGCGACGATCCTGTGATCTTTGAGAGGATAATAGGGAACAGAAGAGAAATGGTTGGCGGATTGGCGTAGTGGGGGTACTGGACTTGAAACTGATCTGGGACCTTGCTCCGGGCTTCGGGGCCCAGGATTTGTTCACGTCCAATCCAGCCATCATCGTCCATCAAGCTAAGCCAGCTTTGAACAGCGGCGATGGCAAGGTCTAAATCCCACTCAATGATAGGAAGGAGGTGGAAACCCTCGTCCCAAAGGAACCCTCTAGGAAAGAACGGCCTGGAGGGGGTGAACGAAAGGAGAGACGAAGGCTTCGTGGTCGCGATGGTGGCTCGCGACATGGCACCCGCAACTCTGTCCCAAAAGTCGAGACTCGTCTCTTCATATTCCTGCGCATACGACGCATCCAACTTGCTGTCGCCATAGAAAAAGCCCAAACCACCTAGTAGATTCGAGAGTAAACTCTCGGTGAATTCTGCATACTGGTGGCTGTCCCATGGTGCAGTCCTTGGAAAGACTACATCTACTCTCCCCGCAAATGCGAGTGGGTCTTCCTTGATTCTCGTGTCCAGGTAATCCGCTTGAATGAGTTAGCAACGTCACACACTGACAGGTATAAGACGCACGTTTGAGAGGCTGGGTAGCGGACAGAGAATACGAGAACTCAATCTGGAGGATGAGGTTAGAATTCTGCGGTAGGAGAAGGGTGAGTCGGAGAAAATACCGTGAAGGCACCCTCGAAGATCGCCTGTAAAAAATGCATGTTCTCTTCACCAGGATTGTCTTGGAACTGAGTCCCGTCGCCCTTGGTGGCCTTAACCTTGCCCAGGAAGACAGCTGCCCAGGATCTCAGCATCAGCAACAACCCATCATCATTGCGGCGATCAGCATCTTCACTCACACTTGGCTTGCCATATATGATCTTCAGCAACCCGGACACTGTTAACAGCCAACCCCTTAACAATCTTATTCTGGTTGTAGTCCAAGGCTTGCAGACGGAAAGCACCCAGCGCAGGGTCGCTACCATTACAGACAGCCACCACTCGATGGCCAGTCCCCAGAACTTGATCGCCATGCTGGCAAGTGAGTGTCTTGGCCCTTTCATCTTCTGTGCCCTCCAAAGCCAGGTGGAAGATGATGGCTGTGTGCAGAGTGCTTGAAGCAACCGCTTTCGGAACCCCGGCGACGCGAACGGCCCAACTGTCACCGTCTTGCAATGACTTGACGAAGTCAGTGGTGATATCGATGCCATTCCCTTCATCATGCAGTATCTGGCGACCCCCTGAACGGGCATCATACTGGGTCCAACCATACCCGCCCATGCCATCATCCTGCTCGCAGGTATCGCGGAGGGCTGCCGGAGGTAACTCGCGTCAGCCAATTCACCAAAAACACAACTCGGGAAGATGGCATACTATGAGTTATGGTGTTCTGATCCTTGGCATTTGCCCACATCAGTCCCATGAGCAGCGTCCTGGGGACTTGCGGCCGGACTCCGAAATACAAGTTCGGCCTGTACGGCCCCCATTTCAAGAAAGACGCCTCGGAAGTCGTGAAGTTAGAGGGTTGCGCGAGGGTCCAGAGGCATGCGAATATGGCCACGCCCGATAGGGGCGGATGGATGTACATTTTGCTGGTGTGGTCAAGGTGTAGACGCGCTTCCTTCGCCGCTGCGCCACGTATTTTGGTCGCAGATCTGAGGCGGGTTGTATGTCTCATCCAAATTCACATGCAGCGCATCGAGTGGACCAATAAGACATTGGATTCAAAATCTCACTACATGCGTGCTCCCAACCGCAGGACACAAGCGTGTTTGAGATTCAAATTGTGACGATCCATGGATATCAGTGGGACATGACTTGAGATCAAGCAAGAGATGTTTGAAATTGCCTGCGACAGCTAGCACCCCGGTGATGAGATTGCAACTGCAGGCGGTAGCTAACGTCCTTGGCGCCTGCTTCATTCAATTGCTCTGTGGGTAGGGCTTGGTTTAATGCAATATTCGTCTAGAAGCATACTATATGCAATATGACAAGAGAGTAGACATAATCCAGTTTTGTATCCTGTTTTAAGCTGTAGCTTTATAAATTGACGACAATGGATATATTCTCGGCCAACGTCGAGGTGAAGTTCCCAACAAGAGCATCAAGTCGCTATGGCTGTCTTGTAAGAAATGCTCCACTTTCCAACTGACGAGAAAGTCGTGGCTACCGCCCAGGCCATCCGCCGCGAGTATCCCGACCTCGGCCGGGCGAAACTCGAGGAGGTTGACCGGGTGGAGTGAGATCCGAGCAGCAAGAAAACAGGGCAATACATTCGGCGATGGGTTTGAGTAGATCGAGATCATCTCCTGGTCTTAACCTATATGGTAGGCTGAAATTTATCCGTAGGGTGGTGTGATGCCTAACGCCGACACGCTGCATCAGAGTACGGGGACAGCGCAATTTCAGTACCTCGTCCCAGGAAGTTCATCTTCCCTTGTGGCAGGAGCATAAGGAGATGCTCTTGGTTGAGATCAAGAAATGATATCGAAGCTCCGCCATTGGCGAAATGGATGAGGTTCAAGAAATGGTGAACCAGGCTTTATACGGGATGCAGACTCGCGCCACCCCGAGTGCTCAAGGCCATGCCACCGAATCAAAATTCGGATCAATCTCGAGGAAGATGAAAGTTGTGCCGAGGCCGTCATGTGTATCCAAGGACAGCGCGATCAACTACAAAGTCAAATGGGATTCCAAGGACCGGGAAGGCAGGTTTGGTCCATAATGAGGATAATAAGCCACTATTGATAAAGTCGATTCGGGCTATCTTCAATTGAAATTCGACGGAAATGTACCAACTTGTCCACTATTACTTCTGGAAATGGGTATGAACTTGCGGCAAGGTCCATCCCCTCTCCCAAATGGTTATTAACGGGTTGCCACATTACGTATCAGAGGAAATGGATGGTAGCGGCACCCCTAAGGTTGGTTTAGCACTGCATGTGTATCGCATTCTTCTCCAAAACACGAAGTCTGGGACGCAATACATGGCAACGACATTGAAGCAATGAGATACATGCTCAGCTACAAGATATTCTGCGCTTCCGATCAAAGTGAATTGAGTTGGACTTTGCTGCACGTACGTTATATTCCCTCTACTATTTTATATGCCAATGTTGAATTATACTTCGCTGGAATAAGATTTGTACATGACTCCACAGCAGGGTGCGCTAACATCGAAACTAACTAGACGGCATGTTACTGCCGCCTCATAGAGATATGCAAGGCCTTGCCACAAAGTAGCGCTGAGATTGATGCAGAAGATTGGTAAGGAATTAGGCCCCGCCTTTTCAGTAAATGACTCTGGATCTCATTCCGTTAGGCTTGGTAACACTCCTGTTAGCATGATGGCGAACCCTACGAAACATCTACGGCCTCCAACCCCAGTTCAACTTCAATTGACTGGACAACAAGCAACGGTTATTGCAAGTTTGATGTACACACAAGTATATTTAATGCGTTATTTTGGAGGACAGATGTTTCCTTTCTTATTTCTTCTTCAAGTTTGACATATTCGTCAGTAGGATACTTAACTGAAACGTATATTAACCACGCCTCTCACAGGTTAGGCTATAGCTCGGGAACCATGATATCAGGGTTATTTTGCAATGTTTATTCGTTTAGGGGGTAAAGACTACTCCAGCGCTAGCTGAACTCAATACTTTAATTGGTAACGCGAAGTTAGCGGCGGGTACAACGCAGGTATACTTCCCCTGTTTCTAGGCGCGCTAGCTACTAGATCGGTATACTCCCGTAACTAGTATCGATACCGCGACTTTAGGGCCGAAAAACAGCCAATGTCAAGCAGCTACAGAGAATCAGTAACTTAGGTAGTAGATATACTAGGGCCACTTGTCCTCAAACCACTGCGGTTTCACCGATTTTCCTTTGAAAATGAAGGCTGGGGTGGCATGGCCGCCGGCAAGGGGAATACACTCAAAGAATCGCAACCAAGCTGGTAGCTATTGGCTTGGCTATCCGTACCTTGCGTGTCTGCAAGTGACTAATGACAGGGCCTCCTTCTTATTCGGCCCCATAAACTCCAGTCTCTTTCATATTATTCTCGTGATTAAGTTAGATACAGTACCGGCGGCGTACGCGGTCGATAAGGGCGGTTGTTAACAGCGTGTAGTCTATCGTGAGCCCATGAGGCACTTCGCACCCAACGTTGGTGCATATAGCCTCGTAGTGCCGGATGAAGCCGCAAACCCTGTGTACGGTCAAGATCCATCCGACCCCCGGCGGACACTAAGTATCTCTTGGGTGAAGGCGGTTTGTGAGCGCTTCGAGAGTGCCCTCCCGCAGGCTTCTTCATATGGTCGTCTCCACGATTAAATCCTCTTGATATTCAGATAATCGTTGATTAACACGCTGGGCCTCTGGCTTCGAAATGCAGACATGGTCGCGTCTCGAGAGCGTTGATAGCGAGATGCCGAATCGTCTCGCCGCTGTTTTGGCATTCAATGTGTTCGCTTTATTAGGGGGTAAATGTGGTTAATCACCTCTTTCACTAATGATCTATTTATATTCTCGCTCATTTTTTATCCTTATTTTCAACGCCCTCTGTACGCCCCGCTACGTGGGCTGTGAAAAGGTAACTGCAAACCTAAAAACTCCCGCTACAAGCGCCCAACACTGAAGACGGTCTACTCTTACTTCATCAACATCCATCGTTCGACTTCGGACCAACGTCCCGCATCACTTCAGCAACAAATGCAGCAGCTTGATTTTTAATTTCGACTTCGAAAGCAGTTCTTCTCGCGTCCCCTGAAAGACCAGCGGCACCGTACAAACCTTTGACCTTCAACAGCTGTCTTTTCCAGGTTTCCGCTACTACATCCAGTTGAGTAATTATGGATGAATCCTGTGCACCAAACCCTTGGCAACAGCCAAGTATTAGAACTTCAGGAGCGAAACCGAAACCTCTGGTATATCAGCAACTGACTTAAGTACGTAGTCAAAAGGCATAATTTTCTGTACCCAAGGCCCTTATGGCTACATTCACTCCTTTGGACTTGGGAAGATCAGAGATTCGCTTAATCCTTTGCTTTGTCATAACTTGCAATAAGTCCGATATGAACCTCTGCTGCAGCGGACTGGTGAACCCCAACAGCATCGTCATTTTCCGTCCATCGGGGCTGAACTTGACGGCACGCCTATTGCTCTCCCACAGCTGGAGCAGGCTCTCCGCTTTCACCTGTCCCCGCCGGATTTCGGCCGTGGTGCTGAGGTGCTGCATAGTATCATCGCTCTTTTATACCAGATCACTTTCTTGTCGAGCCACTTGACCACTTTTTCTGTGTATTTCAGGTGTTGGACCAAATTGACCGTCAAAAGACGAGGGACCCACTCGCTGTAGAATGAGGTATTTTTTGGTAGTTATAAGGTCTGACATCAGGTCGTCCTGTTCTCGGTTCAATCTCGTCTTGGCCAGCTTTTCCTGCAGGTACGCGTCGGTCTCCAACTGCAGCTTGGATGAGTGTTTCTTCAGCTGTTGTATCCCCCTCGAATCCCGTACTATCTTGTCGCTGATGTCGGTTTCCTGCCAGGGCAACCATTCTGTTACAGTTCTTGGGCAGAACATGAATGTCGCTTGGCAGCTGATCCATCCTGGTAGGACAGGGGTGTACGCATTACTATCAGTACCTAGGGATGAAAACGAGTATCAAATTATGGTGCAGTCGTCGAACTGTATTAACTGGTAAGGACGGACCTACTCTTTGCTACTCCTGCATCTCCGCCACCCAGCCGTATCCAGCTTGAAGCAGGGCTAAGCGCACCTTGCAGTCTGATCTTGTTATAACAATATCACCAGGCGGCTGAGCCCTATCAGGCACTTGTTTTGCCATTGGCTGAGACACAGCAAGCTGTTAGATTGCTGCAATTCAATAAATCAGCCAACGTCGGTGGGATTACTTGAGTGTGAATACTACTTATCCCAAACATACGAGGGAAATAGCGTGTCTTTTAGTTAGTGTGAGTGGTATAAGTGGAGCCAATGGAGTCATTAAGTCGACCGAGTCGAAAGGCCATTCAAATTGCTGGGTTTGAAGATCTTTTCCTAATTCTCATCGCCTCGACTAGTGTACTGTAGTGCTTACTGTAGTGCTTACTGACTAGTTGCCAACACTATATTTGGTCGTATGCAAGGGCTAATCAAGTACCTGGTTACTGAATCCTTCGCAAGGGGATCCGGTCGCGAGGCTTAGTGCGATCAGCATCTCGTCGCAGAACCTGCCGCTATCTCCTACCCCTGGTACAATACAAGGCTTGGAGCCAATGATTGGAAGGCATGGGCCGCCGCTACGCCCCCAACAAGCCGCCCAGAACAGCATAATGCGAAAATCACATCACGAAAAACATGAAGGTCCACTTAGAGCATTGTTGTACTAAGTTGCGGCACATGGGATGAGGTCCACGTAACAAATTATTACGTGCCTCGTTCCCGAATTCCGCAAGTTCTCGTCCCCATTTCTCTCTGCCGTTACTTCATCTCTTTGCTGAGTTGTATTTACGCTATAAGGTTGCGAGAAAGCGCAAGACTGCTAGCCACCATGGCGACGTCGTCAAACATGGGCGCGTTGACAACAACGTTTGCCCCACCCAGCAACTGCAATCAACTCTACTACGCCGAAAATGTGGGCGGGTGGTACCAATACGAAGACACGACGACGTGCTTTCCATCGAGCTTCAACCGTAATTACACAGCCTACTACTCACCAGGCGTGTGTTTCTCAGGCTACACCATCGCCGGCATCACAACTGACGCGTCCACCACCGGCGTGTCGGTCGCCACCTGCTGTCCGAGCGGGTATACCACTATCGCCAACCGGCGGGCAAAAGACATCGACGCGTGCCGATCCAAGTTTGCTTCGTCGACGGTCACGGTTGTCGATGTGAGGAGTTACAGCGGGGATTTACTGGCGTCGTCGGGGAACACGGCGACGACTATTCTTGCGGGCGACTGGGTGAATGCTTATGGTAAGTACCTTGGATGAAATTCGACCTTGATTGAGAAATGATTCTCAAGACTAAACCCGCAAAGGACCCATTCTACGGCGAGAGTCAACCGATCCTGAATGGGACACCGCCGTTGTCGATACCTTAACAACCAGTGCTACCAGTACCACCAGTACCGGGACCTCAGTATCGCCCGGGAGCACGGCAGGGACTTCGGGGATCCCGAGTGTCACAGCGGGCTCGAACACATCCTCGTCTTCGGCTTCGGCTTCGACTTTGGGTTTGAGCCCCGGCGCCAAAGCCGGCATCGGAGTCGGCGTCTCAATCGGTGCACTCGTGGTCATCGGCGCCGTAGCCGCGGCTTATTTCCTAGGCAGACGGAGTCGGCGCCAGAAAAGCTTAGCTCCTGAGACTACCGAGCCGCAAGACCACAATCGTCCGCCTCCTACAGAGAACCATCCGCAGGACCCGCAGGATAACACGGCTTACGCACCTGCCTACGAACCTGCCCCGTATGTGCCGTATACGGATGCGCACACGCACACGTACATGCCCACACACGCACAGAATACCTGGCCGCAGGAAGTATCGGCGATGTCACCAGCTGCACACGAGGTGGATTCGGGGCCAATGAAGTTCGAGTTGGCTACTGAGCGCCAATGAGTTTGAGTTTTTAGAGCGTGCGTTGTTTGTTGGTGCATTTGAACTTCCGGTGTACGAATGCATGTGGAGAAATGGCAGCACTTGGATGATCGTACAAGTAATGGTGTAGACTTGATCCTTTCATCGTGGAGATATAAAATTTGTAATGCTGACAACTGCGGAGGAAGGATGCCGGCTGGAAGGATATACCCAATGTACAGAGTCAATTTCCATTTCTTCCAGATGCAGCTTTGCGAGGAGTGACCATGCCGTCCTTTACGACTGTTCTTGTGCTTAAATCAAATCGTTCTCATCCAGATCTGTTCTGTCCCGGGACTCCCAAACACGGGTTATCTATGTCGGCTTGTCCGTTACCAGGTTTCCGGCCGTAGACGATGTAACTGCAAGCCTGTCAGAAAATCTGTAAGCACATTGCAGTTCACTAACTTACTATGTCCAATAAGCATGGATCTCACGATTCGCCAAGTCCATCTTTACCTGAACCACAGGTCCCTCACGGTATCCAGGTCCATGTGCAATCCCTGTTGGAGGACCTTCAGAGAAACCGCCTCCACCAAATGATTTGGACTCGTATGAGTGAATTGGCCAATCCGCTTCTGCTTCCTGTCGACAGGCCAAGGGTTGATTGGGCAACAGAACTGCTTCTCCACGACGTCCACAAAGCCAGCCTCGATCAACCAGTTCTTGCACTTCCTCGCGACACCCCAGTCCCGTCCCACGCCGGTCGCCGCGTCATTGAGAAGCTTACACCACTTCTCTAGCGCGATCCCTCGAGATGAACCATCAATAGACTCGATCTCGAAGACGGTATCATGATACTCGACCCAGCCCCCCGGTCGCAAGTTGTCGAACAGCTTTCTCATCACGGCCTGGTGATCGTTAAATAGTTAGTTCTATTGGGACCCATTGCGGGAGGAGCCACACCCTCGGGCCGTTATTACCCCGAGACGAATTCCCGATCATCTGGGCTCGTCACCCGCGACTTCCCATAACAATATCGTCGACAACGTTGTCGCCTCCAGAGGTACGGAAAAGGCTCCTCCCGCAACAGCTTCCCCTCCCACCACAACCCCGATTATGTATATACTTCTGTAATAGCTTCCCTCTTAATAAAAAGAGTGCCAAGGGACCCATCTGTGGCCCCTACGGCGGTATAGGCCTCTAGGACGCGAACAGAACGCTCCTACTAGCGTAATTGCTAGTCGAGGCCTGCACCGCCCATTAAGCCACAGGTGCCCCGTGCGGGCCAAGCTTTCATCAATTGTGCCTTCCTATTCGAGTATAGCAAAGGGGGAATAGAACACGTGAATACCAGCCGCAAGTGGATGAAATCAAATAATTCATCCAACGTCCACTCATCCTCGACATCCTCTCGTACAAAATGGCAATTCGCAGGGGCAGCTTCTAACGGCTGAATAATCGACAGATCCGTGCCAATTACCTTGGCATGCGGATACTGTTTCGCGAACTCGATGGCCCAGATCCCCGTTCCCGTGCCTACATCCAGGACGGTGAAAGGCTGATCGCGACGGAAGGGCGCGAAGGACAGTTTGCGGTCACACAGTAAATTGAAAGACTCGTGCTGGAGGTCGAGTCGCTCCTGCTCTACGGCGTCGTTGGGAAGGAAGTATTTGTCTTCCCTGTAAGCCTGCCAGGTGCATCCGTTCCGCTGGACGGAGGTGGTATCCGCGATGGTGGCGCCAGTGGGAATGCGGCCTTCAAACTCCGGGGAGTATTCGTCGTCGGGCGCTGCGGGAGCGATTAGGTGGCGTAGGTCGAACTCGTTGTCGAGCTGGAGGACATAATCAAGATCAGAGTCTGCTGCCCATGGCCGATGAACTGAGGGGGGGTTGTTGTCATCGACCGGGTCTTGTACGCCGTGGTGGGGCTGCTCTTTCGTCAGCGGTTATACTTAAGATACGAGAGAAGCGACTGACGTGTGGAATTTGTGACTGGACCCCATTTGGATCTTGCTTGTGAGACAAGTCACTATAGTTGCCCTGGGATCCGTCCATAACTACATATCATGTGAAGCACAAGGTATTAGGATTGGTAAGGAATTTGGGAACACAAATTTGACCCATGCAATCGGTGGTAGGTACCACTGTCTTGTATGCAGGCGCAGGTCGTCTAGTTAGGCATAGGTTGACCCGAAATGGTATTGTCCGTACTTGACTGCATCCTGCTCGCAGCATTTAGATCGAACTAGGTTAGAACATAACAAAATATCTACCAATCCACACAAGAATATATCACAATACTGTAGAAACACTGCTTACCTTGCAAACGATGTTAGGCGATAAGTCTGTTACGAATGGACTAATCCAACGTGAAGCACACGGAAGATAATATTCCAGTAACTTTGCTCCGTTTGGGAGGCATGTACAGAGCCGTTAAACCTGCAGCACTAGACTTCATTCTGATGGCCAGCGTTAGACCATTGATGCAGTAGCATAAATCCACCAAGATGATTCGCAGCAAGTCGGTTAGTCGTATAGTACATGCCCAAGCCGGAAGCCACCCCTACAACGGAAGGCTTTGTTTGATTCATCGGTCCCTATTGGCGTCGCTCCGCATCTTCCGGTGTTAACTTGCGGCCAGGCAGCAAGCCCCTGTGGATCCCAATCAATAGAGGCATTCCCAGCTTGTGGTGAATTACCCATTCATTTTCATTATCCTACTCTTTCCCATTTTCCAATTTTTTTTATTTTACTTATCCCAGCCAAATTACCAACTCCCCAGTTCACATCACGAAAAGCAGGTTCGTGTCTATATAACAGTCAGTATCGAGTTCTCACATCGAAGGGATAACAGTGCATGTTAGGTCAAACTTACCAAGAGGATGGCTACACGATAGTTGTGGTTTCTGCGAGTACTTCGTCTCCAGCACATCTCTTATGCTATTCAACAGCTCAACATAGCTCTGCTTCGGATTCTGCTTGATCGCGGTGATAAAAGCAAAGGACATGGCCCCGGTAGCCTGCTGAGCGATCGTGGCATCGGCACTCGTTTGGTCGTCCTTGCTGCCAGACCACATGATGACATCAGCAGGCGAAGTCTTGGTCTGCTTGGTCTTCTTGTACGCATCATCCCCGCGGTACGCCGTCTTGGCGAAGCCAAAGATGGTGCTCGCGACACCGGCCATATCGCCCTTGGTGTAGGCTGAAAAAGCGGCCAACAGACCTTGACCCGCCTCGGCGGCTAGGTTGGGCTCTTTCAGTACGCCCTTGGTGGAGTACATGTAAGGCAGATCCATGACGGAACCGGAGTGGCATGAATCGAAGATGGCGGTCAGTCTGACACCCGGCCCCAGCGGCTTAACCACAGTGAAGTGGATCTCATCGTCGACGATGTGGCCCGCCCGCTGGTAGTCAACAGGATAGATGACCTCGTCTGTTCCATCCTCCTCGTCGCCATCTAGGTCCTTAGTCTGCCCACCATGACCCGAGTAGTGGAGGAAGAGTGCATCGTCTGCTTGCGCATTGCTAACCAGCCATTTCATCGCCTGTATAATGTTGACCTTTGTCGGATACATCTTCCCATTCGGATCCTGGTCATCCGTCAAGATGACCATGTCCTCGCGCTTGTAATTGTATCGCTCGATGAGGAAGGCGGAGAGGTTCTTGACGTCATTGATGCAGCCGCGCAGCTCGCCCTTTTGGCCAAAATAGTTGATGCCGATCAGCAAGGCCTTGCGCTTTCCAGTACAGTTGGAATACTGGAATGTGTAGCCGGCCGGTGCGCCATGTCCAAACTGCTGTGCGGCGTGTGGGGGAGCTTGCGCGGTGCGGTGATCGCCTCCGTATCCTCCCTGTCCTCCTTGGCCACCCTGTCTGTAGCCGTAAGGATCGAGGCCCGGCGGAGGCGGGCCGGGTGGAGGTTGATAACCGTGCTGGGAATGCTGGGGATACTGGGGCTGCTGGTGATGCTGAGGAGGTCCGCCATATCCTCCTGGATAACTGTTTTGGGGCGGCGGCTGGTGATGCGAAGGCGGGCCGTATTGATTATGGCCATACTGTTGTTGAGGGGGTCCGTGAGGAGGAGGACCGCCGTATTGATTGTACCCTGGCTGCTGCTGCTGCGGCGGCGGCGGCTGCTGCCATTGACCCGGCGGTGGTTGAGGAGGACCGTATCCTCCTCCTCCTCCGCCGCCGTAGCCTCCGTAGCCTTGATTCGGTGGTGGGCCTCCCCAAGACATAGTGAGTTGCTGTTTGCAACGGCAGGTGGAATGAGCGTAGCCGAGAGATTCAAGAGCGAAAGGTGCACGGTCAATCAATGAAGGAGAACCAAAAGAATTTGGAGGTCAGAATCCTCTGAGGATGTAGAAGCCAGGTGTTGTAAGTGCACGAAGATGAAGGTAAGTTGAAGGAAGGGAGTTCGAGACAGGACGAGGCGCAGCATACGCGTCGCAGATGACGGCGGGGGGCGGGGCAGCTGAAGTAACGGCCCATCAAGGCTTAATCTTAGTGGAGACCAGAACGACAAAGTCGCCGGAAACGATGATGCCTGCAGCTCCCAGCAGCCCATTTTAGGGAGTTCAAACGACGGGATGAGCCTATTGGAGTTTCATCTGACCCTTTACTCGGCATCACGGCTGGGGATAGGCACACATCCAACATGCGCACCAAGCGCTACATCGAACAGATCGCAGGCTGGGATGGGAGCAGTGGGAGGACTCCAACGAGGTATTAACACCAACATCGGATGATCCAGGATTGGTGTGATTCTTCCACTGGCGGACTTATTAGAAACGAGGCATTATTGCTCAACTCGTACTGACAATCGATCGACTGCGTCTGTGCTGAGATGTTTGTACTTGTGAGGTTCTCGTCAGAGGGCTCCAATGCTTGGCCAAGCAACCCCCCCTCAATTGTATGCAAGTTGCGGCTTCGCAATTTCTGCACGCAGGTGGGATGCGGGCCATCGGTGGCCACGCCGCAAACATTATATCTAATGCCCTGGGTTGACAGTCGTGACCATGCTGTTTAACACAACAAGAACCAACTCCTAGCCAATTTGAGCCAACTCGCCTCTGAGATTTCCAAACAGCGTTCCATCCCGCCATTCATCTCTGACACCACCTCAAATTCAAAATGTCATCCTTCCTTAAAGGCCTCGCCGAGAAGTTCGACGACCTCAACGTCGGATCCGATCGCCGCAAGGATGACGAGTCCGGCTATTCAGGCACGTTTTCACATCCGTCGTATCCGTCACAGCCAATGCTAACTTGATCGCAGGCCAGCGGGGCTATGATGACCACGCCGGCTACCCGGGCGGCGCTGGGCCTTCGCACTCGGGTCAGTACTCATCACCTCCGCCACCGCCCCAACAATACGGTGGAGGTCAATACCCGCCCCCACAGCAAGGTTATGGTCAATATTCGACTCCACCACCGGGACAGTACTCGTCTCCTCCACCGCCTGGGCAGTACTCGTCTCCGCCGCCACCTGGACCGCGACCAGAGTATGGCAGCAATCAGAGTCTCGGCCCGCCTGCTGTGCCAGCTTACTCACCACCGCCAGGAAAACCACCAATTCCTGCAGGTTGGATCCCACAGTACGACCACCAGTACCAGCGATGGTACTACGTAGAGGAAGCTACGCGCCGCTCGCAGTGGGAAGCCCCAGTGTACGATGCCCATATCGGTGCGCCTGGTGGTGAGAACCGTGGTCATGAATCTGAGACTGGGTATGCATCGCATGGAGGTGGCGAGTATGGCCACGGCAATGGAGGTTATGGTGGCCACAGTGATGGCGGCTACGGAAGCCACGGCGGCGGCGACCATGGTGGCCACTACCAGGGAAACCCGTATGGAGGGGGTCATGGGGAATCCGAACATACAGAGAAGAAAAAGAATAGTAGCAGTGGCATGCTCCTCGGTGCGGCTGGTGGTATCGCTCTCGGCGCCGTCGGGGGTGCACTAATTGCCGATGCGCTAGGTATAAACCCCTTTCTATCCCCCATTACAATATGGGCTTTGCTAATTGAACAAAGATGATTCCGACGATGAGCACCATCCCGCCGCAGTGCCTCTCTATGCAGCTGCACCGTCTGACGTCGCCCCTGTCTATGATACTGGCGTTCCCCAATACGACGTGGAGGGCGACCGGGTGTCCGAAAGCGACCGCGAGTCCGTCGCTTCCGCGCGCGAGGACTACGAGAAAGCTGCGGCCGAGGCCGCGGACTCGGATGCAAGCAGTAGCGACCAGGAGGAGCTTGAAGAAGCTAGAGAGGAATATGAAGAAGAGTACGAGGAGGCCTATTACGACGACTAGGACTGGATTGCCCGCATGCACAACACGGCAAGTCAGCGGAGAAGGTTAGACGTATGAGACAAGTACACAAGATATAACCCGGATCTAGGTTAAGTACAGGAATACTTAGGACAGATGCTGAGGAAAGTTACGAACACGGCGAGATGAAATTCAATTCTCTTGATTGCTTCATAAAATTTTCCATGCCCACTTTACTGCCCCTGAAACATGCCTGCGCAGTATTTCTCTGTCTGCTGGCCAAGCACTGATCCATGTCGCCACCGGGTATCACACCCAGTAACAGGCACGCCCATAGTAAAGCCAGAATTATGTGCTGCCATGCTGCTAACTTACCAATACTGGAAGTTCTCACCGGCCCCATAGTACTCCTCATGGTCCCTCTTAAGTTGCGTCTTGTGAAGTCGTTGCTCCTCTGTCAGATCTTTATCGTCATCACTGTTGCCGCCATTCCCATTATCATTCCCTTCGTCCTCCATATCAACGTCGTCCTCGTCCTCCGAGAACATGACTTCACTCAACTCCAATTCCCACTCTTCAAGATCCACAACCGTCGACTCATCGTACGGATACTCGAGGATTGCATCCGAGGGAAAATTCCCACGAACCAGGTCGCTAGGCTCGCTCGAAACGAACAGCATGCACATGCTCCCCTCTCTGCAGAGTCCCACCAGACCCCGGATCAGCTTTTGGTATAACTCCCGATCCTCGTCGGTGCCAGTAGTGCACGTCATCGAGAGCATGTACAGCACCAGCCATCTTGGCTTCTGCGTTTCTCGACTCCACCGCTGCACCGCTTCGACGAAGGCGTCGACGTCAGGCACAAACCTATGCGGCTCGTTCCATGGCATGCGCGGGGCTTCCGCTTCGCCTAGATAGGGCACATCGAGCTGCATCCCGGCACTGAGCCACCAGATGGCGTGAGCGATGGTTCCGTGGCCCGACATCAGATCCGTCATGTTGCTTTGTGTTGGGGGGATGCAGAGGGCGTTGTAGTGGAGGGACTTGAATCCGGCACCCATGGCGAGTCTCAAGGTGCAGGTGCACAGATGTTGGATAGTCCGATCGTGCTCGTGCGGCTGCTGGACATTGGGGGGATCCAGGGGCTTCACGATCATGCACAGGATGGGGTTGGCGGTGCCTGCTGAAGTGAGCCAGGCGTGTAGTCGGCCGGCGACGGACCGGGCTATATTGTAATGGCGGTCGACACCAGGGAAAATCATGTTCAAACCGGGGTGGACTTCGCCCACCTGCGTCGTGTCCGAAGTATCATTTACAACCATGGTGATGGCTCTGGATATATCGGGGGTTGTTGCTGCTGCTTGGGTATCGATCGAAGAAACGGACAATTTGTCCATGCGGCTGGTCAAGTCCAGCACCGCCGTTTTCATCACTTGTATCTCGCCCACCGTATCAGAGAAGAACATAATCTGGTGATTGGACACTTGCTGCAGCTTCTCCATCATTTCTTTGTTGTATTCAATGTGCGAGTTCCTGCAACCAACGAGTCCGTCAGTATTATTGGTTACAGGACACGATTGGGCTCTTTATCCAGAAGGGAATGGCTGACTTGGCAATCAAATTCATGTATAGACTCATATGCGCCGATAACGTCTGAATTGCCGTGTCTATCTGCTGCAGCTCCTGCTGGCTGAAGCGCTCCTTGATCTTGCTCATCCAGATCCGAAACTTGCCTCTATCTTGAGAGACGCCGAATTCGTCGAGATTCTTCCGCAGCCGGCTCAGCTGGGAGTAACATGCCTCCAAAACGTCGTTGATCTTTGCGGATGGAACATGGTATTGCATTTGCTTCGTTTTGAACGCCTCGATTTCCTCGATGAAGACACCGAGGTTTTCCACCCAGAGGGACGAGTCTTGGACGCGTAAGTGATTGTTTTCCTTCTTCAGGAACGTTTCGCGAAAGGCCCCGCCCACTTGGATGAGCATTTGACCTCCTTGCAATATGGCGATTATGGTCGCCACTGATGAGACGACGTCCATGGTGATGGAGCACACTTGCCTGACTCAATCATTCAAATTGAACCGGGATGAGAGTGTTAGGTTTCCTGAACTTGTAGCCAAACTAGCGTCTTGAAATTATAAAAATCGCGGCTCAATACACTCGGCTACAGCTTGTCTGCAGTGTAAGGCTTTCCAGTCTGCCTCGCTTCCGAATGTGGTGACATGCATGAAGTGGTGGAGTTTTGGCGCTCAATAATAGTAGGGGACATAAAGGATGGAACTCACAAAATTCTTTCAATTGGGCAAGAAAACTATATGGCATATGGGCTTCCTCAGAATGGGACGGTTTACCTACTTACTCCCGCAACAGATTGCAAGTCATCTATGTAGTAGCCTAGGATTATAAGAGTAACTATCATTAATTCCCAGCCACGCCCTAAACAATCCATTGAATTTTAATCACTTGGTGACATGTTATCTGCAATATGATCCGGATAACTGATGCTTTTTCGTGAACTGTAGCTTTACCGTGCTGACGAATATGATTGACATAGATGTTCGTATTTGTATTCAATATCCCTTATGTGCCTCAAGACAAAGTTCTGTTCGTTTTACTGATATTTTCTATTTCTTCAAACAATCAGCTTGAATCCGGATATGTTAATCTACGTTTGTTTCGTTAGTGATTATTGTGGACGTAGGTTGGGTGAAACTGAATATGTTCATATCATCTTGCTGTTAGATGTGGCTCATATCCAGATCCAATACTGAGTTTTCTGACGGATTTTTATACCATTATTTGGAATAACTAATGTAATTAGAAGTACTGTCATTATCTGCCACCATTTTGGCTGCAGCAAGTCTGCAGTGCAGGATCACCAACAAGCCTGGACGAGATACTATCTCAAGGGTACCTAGGCACCGCTACCCCTAAGATGATTAATGTGTTTACGTATCATGGTACGTGGTCCAAGCATATCATGCTAGCAGCTAATAAAAACACCAGCACATAAAACTCTAGATATCAGGGGACTTAGCCCTTCAAATAGCTCCAGCACTAAGGAGAGACTGTGCCGACTCACAGGATATGCCAGTGGCGTGTAATAAATATATGGTCTGATTAAGGTGATGTGGTCACCATCTAAACCGAGCCGGTGTTGAATCTCAACGCCCGAGAAAATGCACGATAAATGTAGGCTATAAGGAAAATTCAAGACCAACAAGTTGAGTAATAACGGGTTAACCAGAACATAAGTAAAGAAAGTCTAACAGCTCATAATTATAGAGCAAAAGGGCATGTATTCTAGATGCTCCAATCTTCTATGATGCTTGAGTCGACAGAGTATTTAGATGCTCTGGCCCTAGGACTCGTTGCTAAGCCTGCACACAGCCCTGCATTAACACTACCATCCCCCACCACCCCACCGGTAACCAAATTAGCAGCACCTACACTATAATTACTTCAACTTCAATTATACGGATCTTAATGGAAATTGAAGCTATTTACAAGCCGATTGCACGAATAAATAGCGAATTGAATAGAGTTTTCAATCTAGCATTTTTAGAAAGGTTACACGATACTCCACATCGGTACTACGGAGTTCCGGCAGCCGTAAAATTCTTGGGATATGCCCCTACGCACAATCACGTACGCGCTTGCGTTTCTACACTTCTGGCTCAACAGGGGGATACCAACGAATTAGGGAAGAATTGTCTCAACCGATTTGTCTGTAGACATCCAGAAATTCGTACCAAGATGGGTAGAAAGCAGGAGACAGCTCGATTTAACTCGTTTACACCAAAAGCCGTACATTGGTACTTTGATATCCGTGAGAGAGAATACGGCTGGATTAAGCCATAAAATACAGTTAATTTCGATTAGGGAGGCATAATGGCTGGCTTTGTTAACTATCTCTTAGTCTCTTAGGCAATTATCTATGCTAATTACTATACTATAGGCCTTGGCGGGCTCGTATTGGGGAGTTCTGACGCCCAACAGAAGGCTATAATTAAGAGCTCACAGGGTCGTAGTTGGACTACCTTTATTGAAGCCACTACAGCCGATGGCCGCCTTCTAGAGCCAGGTATAGTGCTTAAGGGCACAGAGCTCCAAAAACAGTGGTTCATTGACCAATTCCGAGAGATCTGTCCCCACTGGCGCTATATAACGTCACCAAATGGCTGGACAGACAACCATATAGGCCATCAGTGGCTTATTGACGTATACTTGCCTCAGACGCAGCCAGAAGACCCCTCTGATGCTAGGCTAATTATACTAGATGGCCATGGATCCCACGCCTCTGTAAGTCTTCTAGTTATTGCAGTATAACTGTACTAACTGGGCTATATAGGATGAGTGGATGACTACGTGCTTCATGCACAATGTATACTGTTGTTACTTACCGGCACACACTTACCATGGCTTACAGCCAAATGAAAATGGCCCCATTAACGTATTGAAGTCGGCCTATAGGGCAGAAGTTAGTAAATTGGATAGAATGACGGATGCGGTGCCAGTTGATAAAGTCAACTTTATCCGGTGTTATAGTACTGCACGCAAGGCTATAACCGATAAGGTCATTAAATCTGGCTGGAGAACTACTGGAAATTGGCCAATTTAAAGGGCCAAGGCACTACGGCATCCAGAAATGCAGGTATATGTTGATAAAAGGGGCACTCCACCGCCGCCACAAGCCCCTGGACTTGACAGTGATTCTACACCCCGTACGAGCCGTCAAATCCGCAACTTTGCGAACAAATCAAGCCCACATAGCCGCTATAGGCTACAGAAGGTTACCAAGGGGGTTGAAGCCTTAGAGGCAGAGTTGGTAGCCGAACGCACTAAGGCTACGGCATTACAGGAGGAACTAGACCGCTTGAAAAGGGGTAAAAAGCGCAAGTCATTGCCAAATCCGAATCGCCGTTTTATAACAGTATCAGAAGCACTAGCTGCAGGGGAGCCTATAACCCCTAATAACCGTCAAGAACCAGCCAATAATGGGAAAGTTGTGGAAGTTGAGGATGAAGGGGTTGATTCATCAGAATCAGAGGCTACGGCCGATGATTTGCCGGCCGCTGTAGTCACACAAAGTGATCGTAAGGTCGAAAGGTGGCGATATTCTTAAACTCCATAACAATAGCTACATAATGGTATAACTACGGTATAAATAGCTTCCATATGTACGGAATTATGTGTAAGTAAAAATGTAGTGTTTTTGCAGTATTGTGCTCAATTAACGTTACCGGTGGGGTGGTGTTACTGGTGGGGTGGTGGGGGATGGTACAGCATCTGCCTGTCGACCTTGAGCTTTCCAAGTTAAAGCGAGGTTGGCCATGCTCGTAAGTGTAGATGGATGGCCCGCCCCGAGCTTCGTCTTGCGAGTCTCCATCACCTGCAAAAACAGCTCCTCGGCCTCCTCCCACCGGCCCTGGTTCCTGTACGTCGACGCTAGGTTGGCCATGCTCGTAAGTGTAGAGGGATGGTCCGCCCCGAGCTTCGTCTTGCGAGTCTCCATGGCCTGCACCTCCAGCTCCTCGGCCTCCTCCCATCGGCCCTGGTTCCAAAACGTCGACGCTAGGTTGGCCATGCTCGTAAGTATAGAGGGATGGTCCGCCCCGAGATTTGTCTTGCTCGTCTCCATGACCTGCACCTCCAGCTCCTCGGCCTCCTCCCACCGGCCCTGGTTCCTGTACGTCGACGCTAGGTTGGCCATGCTCGTAAGTGTATCGGGATGGTCCGCCCCGAGCTTCGTCTTGCGAGTCTCCATGACCTGCACCTCCAGCTCCTCGGCCTCCTCCCATCGGCCCTGGTTCCTGTACGTCGACGCTAGGTTGGCCATGCTCGTAAGTGTAGAGGGATGGTCCGCCCCGAGCTTCGTCTTGCGAGTCTCCATCACCTGCACCTCCAGCTCCTCGGCCTCCTCCCACCGGCCCTGGTTCCTGTACGTCGACGCTAGGTTGGTCATGCTCGTAAGTGTATCGGGATGGTCCGCCCCGAGCTTCGTCTTGCGAGTCTCCATCACCTGCACCTCCAGCTCCTCGGCCTCCTCCCACCGGCCCTGGTTCCTGTACGTCGACGCTAGGTTGGTCATGCTCGTAAGTGTATCGGGATGGTCCACCCCGAGCTTCGTCTTGCTCGTCTCCATCACCTGCACCTCCAGCTCCTCGGCCTCCTCCCACCGGCCTTCACTATAAAAAACCCTACTCAACGTGCTCCGTATAAAATCATGTTGCCTCTCCGAATCTACACCATAATTACCGCGAATTTCGGAAATATGTGGGAGATGCACTATCAAATGTCGACGGAATTCGGGCTGGCGTTCGTCCTCGCTAAGTTGTTGGCACGCTGCCAGTATAAACACTATATACCACCAACCCCATCTTCGACTTTGTTCGCTTTGTAATGCCCGCCACTGAACCAGCCTGTGCATCATGACGCCACGCCATTCACCGTCCACAAGCTGCAGCAGGCTATAGCGGAG